AGACGGTCAGACCTATTCGAAATTGCGAGATTCATCGGTTTGAAAGTGTTAACATCGTAATAATTATCTCGTATGATCGATTTCTCTAGTTGAAATCGGTCGTAGCAATATGGACTGAACATCTTTTTTTTTATGTCAAAGTAACTCTTTCCAAAGAAGACCTAAACTAGTAGTAGTGTTTGTGTAACACATTGGACACAATTGACTTATGTTGGTAGATTTTTTTTCTCCACACAAAATTAGAACTCCAAAACGATGAAAAAATATTCTTATATCCCTTATACAACTTTTCTAATCGTTTGAATTTAATTTAGGTCTTTTTTTCGTACCCGAATGGTCAGACGGTCAGACGGTCATATGGTCATACTATGGTCAGACGGTCAGACCTATTTGAAATTGCGAGATTCATCGATTTGAAAGTGTTAACATCGTAATAATCATCTCGTATGATCGATTTCTCTAGTTGAAATCGGTAGTAGCAATATGAACTGAACATCTTTTTTTGATGTCAAAGTAACTCTTTCCAAAGAAGACCTAAACTAGTAGTAGTGTTTGTGTAACACATTGGACACAATTGACTTATGTTGGTAGATTTTTTTTCTCCACACGAAATTAGAATTCCAACACGATGAAAAAGTATTCTTATAACCTTTATACAACTTTTTTAATCCTTTAAATTTAATTTAGGTCTTTTTTTCGTACCCGAATGGTCAGACGGTCAGACGGTCATATGGTCATACTATGGTCAGACGGTCAGACCTATTTGAAATTGCGAGATTCATCGATTTGAAAGTGTTAACATCGTAATAATTATCTCGTATGATCGATTTCTCTAGTTGAAATCGGTAGTAGCAATATGAACTGAACATCTTTTTTTGATGTCAAAGTAACTCTTTCCAAAGAAGACCTAAACTAGTAGTAGTGTTTGTGCAACACATTGGACACAATTGACTTATGTTGGTAGATTTTTTTTCTCCACACGAAATTAGAATTCCAACACGATGAAAAAGTATTCTTATAACCTTTATACAACTTTTTTAATCCTTTAAATTTAATTTAGGTCTTTTTTTCGTACCCGAATGGTCAGACGGTCAGACGGTCATATGGTCATACTATGGTCAGACGGTCAGACCTATTCGAAATTGCGAGATTCATCGGTTTGAAAGTGTTAACATCGTAATAATCATCTCGTATGATCGATTTCTCTAGTTGAAATCGGTCGTAGCAATATGGATTGAGCATCTTTTTTTGATATCAAAGTAACTCTTTCCAAAGAAGACCTAAACTATTAGTAGTGTTTGTGTAACACATTGGACACAATTGACTTATGTTGGTAGATTTGTTTTCTCCACACGAAATTAGAACTCCAAAACGATGAAAAAGTATTCTTATAACCCTTATACAACTTTTCTAATCGTTTGAATTTAATTTAGGTCTTTTTTTTCGTACCCGAATGGTCAGACGATCAGACGGTCATATGGTCATACCATGGTCAGACGGTCAGACCTATTCGAAATTGCGAGATTCATCGGTTTGAAAGAGTACATTAAACCCACATAATCATATGATAATATGGTCAAAGTAGAGATATCAAATACAAATACGGAAATACGAATTTAAAAGTACATTACACCTACATAATCAAACTCGTTTACCAAAATCGTCGAGACGGTCATATTCTGGTCAAACCAGTCATACCAAATACAAATCGAAATACATTCCACCCGCATGATCTTATGACAATGATATGTTGGCTGAACCTATCGAACATGTATTCTTCTTTCCTTCCCATTCATATGCTCCGATCGATTTTACTACCCACTTGCCATCAGATTTATAATAAATAATCATCATCCTCTCATTAGTTGCATCCATTATACCTGTATAAAATAACACAAAATGTGATAAAATGATACACTTGAAAAATGTCACAGGTTTGATGAGTATGACCATTTTGACCAATTTCACGAATATGACCAGTTTGACCAATTTTGACAAGTATGACCAGTTAGGAGTATGACCAGTCTCACCATTTCGACATGTATATGTTACCAGTTTTCTGAATTCTCCCATTTTAACGAATTTCACAAATATAATGATTTCAACCAGTTTGAATAACATATTCATATATATGTCATTTTTGTATATGTCATTTTTGTTTCAAACATATTTATATGGATTAAATATAAAAATGATAAAATAATAAATCACAAATGTCCAAACTTAATAACAAAATTTAGAAACAATACTTACCTTTTATTCAGATTTATGTTGAATCGATTAAATGCCCAAGCTTAATGTTGTTTTTTCGCAACAAATTAGCTAAAAAAAGAGTAGAGATGAAGAGAGTGTGAAGACTATTGAACGAGAGAGAAGAGAAAGCGGACGAGGAGAGAGAGAAGAGGAAGAGGAGAGAGAGTTGAAATTTATTTTTTAAAATTTAATAATAAATAAAAAATGAAGGGTATTTTTGGAAGTATATTATTACAAGGTTATCACATGATGTTGTCTTTTTTTTTTCCAAAGTGAGGGTTATCACGTGAAGTAAAAATGACATTTAAAGTCATTTTTGTAAATCCCCCTATTCAACCTCGTTTTGGATGCGAAGCTTTCACGGTAAACAATTGTTACATATATATCAATGGAAAAGTGATTAAAACGATAAATAAATCAAATGAGCAAAAGCCACAATGACGAGTCCAAAAAGCAAAAACGAAAACTGGAGCTGGGTCGTTTTCATAATTTCATTTCACGGAACGGACCGACGATATAAATAATATTGGTACGGCTACTATTACTATATTGTATCTATTTTTATCCACCAAAATTTCATCTATTGGTTGGTACGACTCGGATAAAGATTCACATATTTCATATTCATATTCCAAACAAAATAAATAATTAAATAACTGAAAGTATTAGAGGTTTTTTTTTTTACAATTCTCAAGCCTTTATCTCATCCCAAAAACTAGATATAGACTTGAATGGAATAGGTTTTTATTTTCAATTTTTGGTTTTGGTTTTCGATTTTTAGTTTTTGGTTTTTAAATTTTGGATTTATTCTTTAGTTTTTATAAAATATAAAAAAAAGAGTTTTTTAGTTTTTATTTGATTTTTTCATCAAAAGCTGGTTTCTAAATTTTTAGGAAAACTATTTTTATAAAAAAAATAATAATCATTTTTTTGTTTTTAAATTTTAAAAACTCTAAAAGCCTCTTCCATTCAAAACCTTAATAAACCCAATAATGGAATTTAACATAGTTTAAGTCTTTACGACCAAAAAAAAAGGTAGAGTTCAAAATAAAATCGTTATTTAAAAAAATAAGCAGATGAACGAACATTTTTAAGTTATTTAATGAAACAATATTAGATTGTAAAGAAAAAGAATTATACAATGTTAGATTACCAAAAAAAGGAATAACATGATCTTGTGTAAGGATTTACCCAAACTGGTAAATCCGTTTGCCATCAATGCATTACTGCAACTCTACTTCCAGACAAGAAAACTCAAATGTTCCGTTGTCCGAGTCAGACCAGCTCCATCAGAAGCGGGTCGCCCTCGGCCATGACTCGGACCAACTCGACGAAATCTCGCTCACTCCACACTCTCCATGGATGAACCTAGGGGTAGGTAATTCGGTTCGGGAATCTGGTCCCGAACCGTACCGAACCGATTAATTCGGTTTCGGTTTGGTTCGGTATTATATAAAAATACCGAACGGTACGAAATTTGAAATACCGAATGGTTCGAGAACGGTTCGGTTCGGTTCGGAAAATTCCGAACGGTATTTCGGTATTTTTATTTTTTAATTAAAAATATTTAATATTAATAGTTAATTATGATATTTACTAATATTAAGAGTTTGTTTGCCTAATGCATTGAGATTAATGTTGAATTTTTTCCAAGTTTACAAGTTCAAAACTTTTATTTTGTTGTATAAAATTATTATATTGGATCTCTTTTTTTTTATATTATATAAATTATAAATATGTCATGAACCGTCTAGAACCGTTCCGAATCGTTTTTATTTCAGTTCTTATTTGGTACTTAATTATTAGTATCGTACCGTCCCGAACCGTTATAATACCAAACCGAATAATATACGGTACTAATTTGGTACAAATTTTATAATACCGAATAAACCGTTATCGAATCGAACCGTTAAAATTCCGAATCGAATCCCGAAACGCCCACAACTAGATGAATAGCGGGAGCCTAAGGAGAATACAGAGACGAAGACGAAGAAGAATTCGATTTCCGCTGGTAAACCATCGAACTAAATACGGTATCGAATCCACCGATTCCGTAGACATTGTCGGAAACCCAGTTCGAGAAATCTAGCGAGTCTGCGAATAATTCTCTGCAAGACTTCTTTTGAATCTCTTGATTTCCTGTGACTTTGATCTGTTGCTGTCCTTTTCCCGCAACTGATCTTAAAAAAAAAAACATTTCCGATAGCCCAATGGATCAATCACATATTGAATATGGGCCCAACATGAGGCCCATAATTGGATTTATTATACCGAAGGAAGGCCCATGAAACCGTTGCGGGAGAATTCGAAAATTTTCAGATCGATCGCGCCGCCATTCCCAGAAACGCAGGGAAAACTTGCTTCAGAAGCTAGGCTTGAAGATGCTGCCGTTTCTTTCCTTCTGATCTCGGGAGAAAAGTTGCTTCTTCTCCTTCTCTCCACTGAGATGGTATGATTCTCGCCTTAAGGTAACAATGACCCGCCCTAACTCGTTTTCCGTTCGAAATTTCCTAGTTCCAGGGCCCAGATCTCTGTTTTCCTTCTTCATTTCTAAATTTTTTGTTTCTGATCGTTGTTTTGACGATTCATAGATCGAGATCTGATAAGAAAAAACCGGTTTCGGGGAGTTTGAGCTTGAGATTTGTGTCTAGTCTGGATCGAGATCTTGTCGTTCATCCCTGCCCAATGATGGTTCTTCTCAGAAGATTATGAGAGAACTTTAATTTGTTTCCTATACTCTTACCAATTATTCTGAGATAATTGTCAACAAAAATATTCGTTCATGATATTCTTCCTCAATAGTAATAAATCTGACTTTTTTTTTTCCGGTGAGAATTGAAGATTCCAAAGTTGTAGTTTTGACCATGAATTAGGTGGGATAAGAAGGAACGCTCATGATTTTACAAAAATATTTGTGGAAAAAATGAGGTACGTATTTAATAGTAATACTCCCTCAATTTTTCAATAGATATCGTTTTAAGGAAGATTTTTTTCCTAATTAGATGTTATTTTAGATAAAAAAAATTTTAATTTCTAATTTTGACCTCAATTAAAAAAATATATAACCTCAATAGAGTAATAATGTGAATGTAATTTAATGAAGGTTTTTGTTATGTTTTTGTAAAAATTGTGAAAAAAATGCATTTATATTTATTTAAACATGGAGGGAGTACGAGTATTAAATAGCTTTTGATGGATACACTGATTCCTTTAAAGTCAAAAGCTAATGCTTTTAAGGTACGGTTCAAAATCACGCGGCTATATGTCTGACGCAACCCTAACATAAAGTCGCGTGAGACAATAATGCCCTGACGCGGATGGATTCCTCTATTTTATTATTTCCAAATTAAAAAAATGGCAATAGGAAGCATACTGGAAAATGCCAAGTGGCATTGGTTTTGTTTAATTCCTATTTTCACCCCCTCTAAATTTTGAATTTTCATATTTGACCTCGAATTTTTGGTTTCAGTTGTGCAATAGCATGATGACGAAAATACTGATGAGAAGAGGTTTTCCGGAAAACACAAAAATGCAAGAAGCACGTCTGTTTTATTTGATTTTATTTACTCTAGGATTTGCTCCTTTTTTTGTGAGTATTAGAGTAAGTCACCGTACAGGGGGAAAATGAAATGGAGGCGCAAAACTTACAAACACGAGGAAGTATAGGGACTAGAATGAAATTAATTTAAAGGTAAGATGCGGGGAAATGGGGAATGAAATTAAAACCAGAGAAAGAGTCAAAAGAGATTAGGAAAGTCAATTATGTTAATTCACATTAACAATTAGTTTTCAATTTGGTTCCTCTTTTATAACCCCTCGCCACTCCGAGGGAACGCCATCTCTCTCTCTCTCTGTCGCAGGAAGTAAGAATCAAGAAACAGGGAAAGATAAAGGGGAGAGAGAAGGGGAGAAATGGGGAAATACGCGGAGCTGTTGGACGCAGGGGTGAGAATAGTGGCGAGGTTCCATTCCCACTGCCCTCAGACGGCTCGTCTCTACTACCACCCTCCCTCCGACCACCACGACTCAGCGGGTGGGGCCCACTCTCCTCCTCAGGATCCCACCCGGGCCATCGGATTACCACCCGATTCCGCCGGCACCAACGGGGTTCAGCGCGGCTCGAGTCAGATGGTCCATTGCGGCGCCAAGGCCTCCTATGGGTACGACACCGCCGATTTCCTCTTCTATGCCGTTGTTTGATCCGCGTCACACAACTTTTTTTTTTTTAAAAAAAAAAAGTCAATTTGTTTATAAGCCATATGGAGATCTGAGGATGTTTTTTTTTTTGGGATTGGTAATACGATTGACTATTCTTTGTTTTTACCGAATTCATGTCTTGAAGAGTTCTCTTCTCATGTTGTCTGTGTGTGTGTGTTTTTTTATTATGGTAAAAACTTGGGGTCAGGTCAATTTTGTTTATATGCCATATGGAGATCTGAGGATGTCTTTTTTTTTTGGGATTGGAAATACAATTGACTATTCTTTTTCTTTTGCCTAATTCATGTCGCGAAGAGTTCTCTTCTCGTATTGTGTTTTTTTTTAACAGTCTGGTAAAAAAAACTTGGGGTCAGGTCAAAATGTTATTGTTGGGATCGCTGACTTGACCTTTGGGATCATGTGAACCGACGGCGTCTGCACAACCAACCATACCAACATAGCTCTTTCTTGAAAGTTTATTTACATCCAATCACTCTTTCAATTACTAATCTTTAATCAAATACATAAGATTTTCGAACCGAGTTATTCACATCAAATATTACAGAGGATACATACAGTCGTAACAACAACAGGAAGTGAATATACAAATGCCGATTTCGTTTGTTTAGGATGATGAAACTGTATGTGTGCCCAATGTGTCCATTGCTCTCACGGTTTCACTTGGCCACATCCCCCCTCCATTAACGACCCCGTAAAGAGGTCGAGACTTCCTGAATCCGAAAATATCCTCGATTTCAAAGGACGGAGACGGGATTTGCTCTTTGTCGCAGGCCATTTCCGATAGATGTCGACTCCCATACACCCGAATGCTCAGCGATTTCTTCCTCATTGCTCCAACTTTTATGTAATCATTGAAGAAATCTATCAACTCTTGCCGCGTGATCTTCCTCAGTGCAGCAACCTGCCCAAAAAATTAAATTACGATGCTCGCAGATCAGCAGCTGCAACACTCTCACGAAAGATCGATGCTATGGACTCGTATATCTTAGCAGGTCAAACGGTAGAAGTGATGTATGTTCAGGAAGAACGAAAACACTTAAGTTGATCTCAGATAGTTCCTCTTTGTCCAAAAGATGTGAGGGTGTTGTTCTTGTTCTTACCTCTGCATATCTACGATCGAATCTGAGCGTTCCAGTTTGGATCTCGTGCCAGTAAACCCAAGATTCCTCGTACAAATTCTTGTGTTTTTCGAGCTTCATGTCTATCAAAGTTGTTACATTGCTCTTTTAAGGAGCAAATGACTTCAGTCAATAACATCACGATGGTAGTAAACAATGAGAATCGTTCGCATGGCTTAGAGGTGACGAAACAGGTTGAGTTTATTTCAAGCAAAGCTAAGTTTTGTATTGAGGAAGTGGTCTAGAATAACTGCTCAAGCCATCTTACCTTAAATTCCTCATCGCTCATCTCATATAGTTTACTCTCGAAGTTCTTGAGGAATGACTCTACCCTTGAATCGATATGTCCAGGACCCTGTTAACGTTTAAACCCTCTGTGATTAAGAAGAGGGTCACGAAAAATAAATGGTTGTGCAAAATCAGATTGATAAAGATGAAAAGTACTAGTTTTGTACCTTTACTGTGGACTGGATAATGAACTGTACACCACGGACGCCAGAATTGTTCCTATGTCGGAGAAAAAGTAAGTTGTGCATTGGAAAAGAATCAACAAGGGGTCTTAGAATATCCAAGAAGTTCATATGTACCTCTGGGAAAGGTCAGTGATGTAACCAAGTTGCTCAACTCCTCTAAGTTGGTGAAAGGTTGCTTGCTTTGCAATGAGAACGAAAAGCTGAAGTTTCACATTCATGGTGAACTCGTCCCGATGAACCTATTTTTTCAGGTAGAGACCAATTTCCGTGAGCACGAAACACATGACCATTGAAGAAGAATATGAATTCTAAATTCAAGAGAGCAAGTCCCAAGAATCTATTAGGAGAGGTACCATCAAACATGTAAAAACTGGCAAAATGTGACAACAAGTTTGAACGCCATCTCCTAATCTAAATGCAGAAATACCTGAATATAGTGCACAATTGCAGAATTTTCATCGCTGGGGTTTGAGCCATCTTTATGGTAGAAGTATTTCATTCCTTTCTTGAGCTTTACAACCCTATCTGTCAGATGCTGGGACGGATACATTGGTCGGCAGATAGGTTTTGGGCCCTGAAAGAACATATCTTCGAGATGTTTGATCATCGACTCAGCTTCATTACTCTCAACATTACCTGAGTGGTGAGAATATAAACGGGAAAACAGTAAGACAAGAGGGTAAACATCATAGCAGCGGAAAGAGTTTCGAGCAGAAGATATACTGCGATTACCTGCTACATAACACTCGAGAAATGTCCTTGACAACAACAATGGAACAAACTTTGTCACGTCTTCTGCTTCCAGATGAGAAATAACATCTAACTCTTCTGTCCAAGGCCAACTCCGATCTTGTAAAATCAGTGAGCAATAATAAGTTGCTTGTTCACACGGTTGCTGGAATTTGAAATTTTGATATCCCTTCATCGCCGTTTCCTAATATGCGATAGGGAATCAATAAGAACAGAGTCAAGGTTGATTTAGAAAAAGGGACAAAGCCTGTCATGATTACCTTGATAACAGAAAACCTGTCAGGTTTTACTTCAAACCTTGCAATCTTTTCAACGATAGTTTCCAACAGGATCTTCAATTTGTGATTATAGCCAAGAAGAGTCAGCTGGAAAATACAAGTCAGAGAGACAAGACATACAAAAACATTGAGCAATAGAGAAACTTGAATCCATAACGAGAAAAAGTGATATGTTGGGCATAACACTTGCACAAACACACCTCAAAACCTTTGACTGAAGAGCTTATTTCATAATACAGACCAGCAACCTGAGCATCGTAAGCTGAAATGACGGAGAAGTAAGAGTAACAAGACATGAATCATAATATAATAAAAACAAACGAGAGAGTGCTTTTTAATTTTGGTTTTACTGTATCAATTCTTTTATCTAAGTCTTTATCCTATATATTTCAATATTATCTATTCAAAGGTTTGGTTACATAAATACAGAAATCAACGCTATTGACTAATGTCCCGTAAAGGCCATAGTTGAAAAGAAAAGCACAGAACAAAAGTCATCAATGATATCTTACCGTATTCATTCAAATAGTCCGTCAGCAACCATGTGAAAATATCAGTAAGAACAGCAGCATCAGGAGAGCTAACTGCGACTGGACAGTTGAAATCCATCATGACACAAGCTTTCGGCATGGAGAACACTGTATCTGGTTTGTACCATAATCTTGAGAAGGGTGACTTTCTCAACAACACTGGGCATGAGCCCTGTTCCCAACCTCAATTCAATAAGGTAATTGCTTCATGCATATAACTTGAGAGATAATTGTAACTAAAGTGGTAAAAATCAAACCTTATCTTTAGCATCCTTCAATGACAAATCTGTAGGAATAAAGACGTTTGGTGTAGGTAGATGTAGGTTAACATTAGGCGCAGACTGCATCCACTCCTGAAACCAACTTTTTTTAATACAAACCATAAACAAATTTCATTAGACAGAGTATGAAATGGAATTTGAAGTATCGAAATGAACCTGAATGGCGGAGCTGGTTATCTTCTCAACAGAATAAGCAGTGTTATACCAAGGCTCAACCTTGTCAGTCTGTCCTTCAAATTTCTTTGACTCCCAAAAAATTCTGCAAAAAGAATCGTATTAGAAAGATTCTTTTTATAAGAACGGCAAGCTTTACTACGCCATTTCGGATTTTTGATAATGGAAATCAAATAATTACAGTATATTGACACTCTGAACCCAGGCTGAAGATCACAAAAGTATCCAACTCTTTCCAAGATTGAATAGGACAAAGTTATCTTGGTAACAAATGATCTTAAGCATGGGATAGAGAACAACTGAAAAGAGTAAGACAGTTTAGGCAAACTGATTTGGGATATAAAGCCCTATCCTTCCAAAAGCTGGAACTTACCGAATGGTATCAGGAGAAAGCTCATCTAACACCTTTTGTATAATAGCTGGATGAAAGGTAGATGGCAATGATGATCCAACCAGCCAATCCTTGATTGGATATACCTGAATTGGTAATTAGTTGCAAATGATTTAGACAATAAGTGCAACATGTTAGCCAAGATGTTAGGACTCTTATAGTCACAGAGAAACTACATAAGTATTACCTGCATGTTTGACGCAATAGCCACTACATAAGAAATTGGTTGAACTTTGTCTTGATAATGGAATGCTGTCTCACAAATAGTTGCAAGCTTCAATCACAATTTAAACTTATCAGACCCTTCAAAGAGTTGCATTTAACAATGATAATAAAGTAGCTTATACATGGTATTGATATGCATACCTCTTCAAAAATCCACTGGCAAATACCAGACTGTTGTAAAAGCTGAATGTATCTGAACAACAGCCCTAAAATATCTTGCATATGCTCTGTAACACCAACAAGGAGAGACCATATTATACAAATGAGTTTATCGTACACTTATTGAACACCAAACAGGCTAAGAATATTGATTTGACTCAACAAGATTTATATACTTTCACAGAATGAAATAAGACGAAATGGGAAGAAAATACAGAAACCCACCATGACCAGCATCAGTAAGACTAATCACAACCTCGAAGAAAGAATACTCCAGTGTCCCATCTCCTTCACCGGCATACAATCCAGTTGCCCAACCTGTATGAATTAAAGGAAAAACCTAACGAATTGTACAACCCTCAAACAAGCCTGCCTGAACAAGAAACAAATTCTTATAAAAGCAAAATAATGGAGAACGGAGCAATCATCACAAAAGAAACACTATTTATTGCATGTTCCATTATGAGATAAGTTGTGCTCGATTAGAATAACTCTCTAAAATTGCAAAGATGCTCGCTTCTCTAGTAATATTCACAAAACTCTATCACAGTCCTCTCTTAGGCAAGCTATTACTCCACCATATATTCCAAATGAAAGCAGCCTTTTTTCCACAGTAAGATAACTCTTAAGATTTTACAGCTACTGTATACAACTTGGACAACTACATACTGAAGTTTATGAGGATCGTTTCAATGAATTTTAAGGGTCCTCAAAACAATTGTCATTTTCACAAAGTAAAAAAGAGATAAGGCGCTTGAAGCAAACTTGCAAACAACAAAACAACCACAAACTTCACAAGAAACATACTTTTTAATCTATTACCTCTTTCGTGTAGAATCAAGCAAAAAAAAGTATTGCCTAATGCCCAAGGAAAACCTACCCAAAGTTTTTAAGGCATGAAACAAACTTCCTTCGCCTTCATGGCCAATTAGATCACCAAGGTACCGGCTTGGTGCTTCCTTGTAGTGATGAATGCTAGGAGTGACAGGCCATTCAATCCTCAACATGTGTCCTTCTTTTATGGGAACGGTCTTGACAAGAATCTACAATCAAAATAATACAATCAACCTCAAAGGTTTCACATTATAGACGTTCTAGCATGGTTCTATCTTTAAGTGGACTAAACTCTATATGTAGAACACGTTTACCTGTAAGTGGTCCGAAGCACAAGGCTGACCGGGAAATCTAGTGATATCCTTGTTGGTGTTTCGGACATTTTGGAACTTCTCTTCTACAAGACCTTGAATTTTATCAAGGCTTTCTGAAAAAATCCAGAGAAAAGAATACATATGGCAGTTATTTGCTTTAAGATTTGAGTTTCCTAAAATAAGGAAATATCTGGCTTTGCATTAGTAACAACACCTACCCTTCCCATACACAACCAAATGCATGATGTTGGCAGAATAGTGTTCATCATAGAATTTAATAAGTTCACTCCTCGTATCCACTCCTTTTGCTTGGGGTCGTGCATGAAGAGTATCCAAGTTTCCTGAGCACAAATCTCACTTCCATAACTATTCTTATGCATTGGAACACCAAATATATTTCCATGAACGCGATGCAACAGAGATAACAATAAAAACACACATAGAATATGGACCTGTGCTAAATTTGTGAAATGGATGGTCCTCCCTACTTAGATGCTTCTGCAACTGTATGCAAATAATTGAAAAGCAAAGAAGGGTAGAAGTTAGAGGTTTTGAGATCTGATACACTGGTGAGTTACCCAATTATGCAAGGCAGAGAGAAATGTATCAAAGTTCAAGTGGAAACTTCGTACAGAGACTCTGAGATGTATCCTTCAGTAGTAATAAATAATTAAACGGATACATATATAAGGAAATGACTCCATGGAGCTGCTCTTGGGAAGGAAAAAAAAAACAAGAAATACCTGGTGCATTCGCCTTGCATCAGACAGTAAGTTTTTCTGATTCTCTGAATAGAAAGAATTCCTCAGTCTCAGTTAATTAATGAACAATGACTGAAGAAATCAAGAAAATAAAAAGCATACCAACCAGAGTCAACAGCATTGATCTCCCTCATGGTGGCATCAGCCAACATCAGTGGTTTGATAAAGAACTGGGCAAACCTGGTTATGAAATCATATGAGAACCTGACATCCAAAATGCTAGAGAGTAAGATAAGGTAAGCTAGCCAGAGAAAAACAACAATGCACCTGTCCAAAGCCTCTTCAAAACAGTCAGCATTGACATCGAAGTGGTAGTTTGTCTGTTCGATCGATGTAAAAGCATTTGTACTGCCTCCATGCTACATTAAGAAAATGCCAGAGACATATTCCATATCACATATTTGTCTCCCATGAAATTAGGGGAAGATATCAAATAAAGCACATCCAGTATATTCCAGCAAGGAGCGATAACCCGGTTATCTTCCATAGCCAAGAAGATCAGTACCTCTGTGATGAACTTCGAGTAACTATCTTCATCTGGGTACTTTTCACTAGCAAAAAACAGCATATGCTCTGAAAACAAAAAATGTAAAAAGGGTTCACTAAATCAAGTATATTACAGTATGACCAGCAAATGCCACATGGGAATCATAATTAATAACCTTGAAGAAAAATTAAGAGAAGAGAACTGCCCCAACTTTAGCAGCAAATTCCAATGTTTACTACCTGATATTTATCTACTCAACTACATCGAAATTCAAACGACGGCGCAGAAATTACGTAACACGGAAACAAAACTACCTAGGAAATGAGCAAGCCCTTCAAGTCCTTCTGGGTCAGAGAAGGATCCGACACTAACATCCATTGAAGCAGCACACTGAAAAACAGCGAAATCCACAGAGGAACCCCGTAAGCTGTATGATCAGCTCACAAATAAGACTAGGCAGGAAACAGAAATCGAACAGGAGACAAATACTACTGCAAAATCCAAGCGATATCACCTTGTCGGTCTCCGGATCGCTAATCAACAGGACCTGGATCGAGTTCTTGAGGACAATCCTCCGATACTCTCTCTTGTCCGTACGCGGCTTCAGAATCTCCACTTCCCCCGCCGCCGCCGCTTTCTCCTCGTTCCCAATCTCCATTATCGCTCGATTTCGATTGTTGAGATAGTTTCGTGTTTGAATATACTAAAAGACTTGGATGGGTCTTCATTCTTCCTACATGTCGTTTCCCAAATGTCCTTCCTCTCCATTTGCGCGGAAAATTCAGACGAATGAAGCCGAGAGAAGTGATCCTCTGTGCTAAAGTCCACGTACAACTTCTAAACCACGGCAGACGTTCCGCCACGTCATCAATTGCAAAACAACGTTAATATTTAATTTCACGAGTCGTGGGATAATATTTGGTTGTATTTGGCTTAGAATATATTGGCCGTTGAAAAGAATAAAACAAGTTGACCCGAGTAAATATGTAAGCATTTGCTATATTTATTAATTTTTCTTTTCATATCATACTAAGTCTTAGTTGATTATCATTTCTCAATTTGGTTGGTTAAATTAAAATGGCCGTCCGCAGCATGCGACATTTTGCTTATAAAATAATAGCAGTTGAAAAGAATAAAATAATTTGTCAATAAAAATGTCTTTCAGTTACCAATTTCGCATTTTAGAAAGGCTTATGCAAATAAATATAGAATAAAAACATTTATCATTCCATTTAAATTTAAGATTTGATTAGAAAAACGAATCTCAATTAATGGACCGGAACAACCTCGACATCATCAAGAACAGGCCCACAAAGATGCCCAAAGTCGTGAAGCTTCGTATGATAAAACCCACTGTAGAACGTTATCCTCGTGCGGTCCGATACGGCCCTAAACGCCAAACGCCCCTTCTTGAAAACGCCGTTTCCGAGCGACTCGAAACGCAGTTTCAGCGTCTCCTTCGCTGCGAACGCCTCCACCATCATCGAGCCGTGGCAGCCGTTGCGGGCGTCACCGACGGTAAAGGACAGCGTGTAGTTTCTGCCGGAAACTGTACGGATGATCTGGGCGATGGCGCTCTCTCTGCCGGCGACGAGCTCGACGGCGGCGAGTCCGGCGGGGACACTGAAATGGCGGTTGTCGATGTACTTCACCGGCTTGAGGGATTCGACGATCCAACCGGGGAGAGGAGAAATCACGTCTTGGATCTTCGCCGGAATCAAGATTCCGGTGGAGAAGTTCTTGAACACGTGCGGGCCGATCTCGAATCCTCCGTTTTTCACCAGGTTCCCTGTTTATTAAGAGATGCAAAAGGTTGTGGGGTGAAACAGAGATTTCATAAAAATACGAGGATCAGAATGCAATAATAGAAAAACAAACCAAGAAATTCTGTATGTTCGGTTTCTTTAACACAAAATATAAATAACAAAAAAATGATGTCATTTTATATAAAATAACGTCATTTACGAGATATATGTTTACTTTGTATTTGTTAAGAAAAACAAAATATAAGAGTACTGTTTTTTATGAAAGAAATCCAAGTGTTACCACAAATTAGGATTAGTCTATGAAAAATATAAACCAATTTGACCAAAACCAATTTGCTACAAAACTAAACCGGTTAAGAAACAGTACCAATACCTTTGTTGTACCGGAGAGGAGGCATCTCCTTAATGGCAACAGCATCCAAAAGGGGCCCACAAGAAGGATCTTCTTGAACACCAGGATTATGGAAAGTGAGCTTAACAACGTTAGAAACTGCCCTGAAGGACCAAGCGTAGGTATCGCCGCCATTAGAACTGAACAATGTCTGAATTGGCAGTTCGGCCGCTTGTCCCGACACCGAGATTCGGATCCTCTCGTCCAGAGCGCAGGTACGTGTGGCCCCGAACGTTATGGAATAGGTCGAGCCAGGCTTCACCCTCAAGTTCTGAGAGATCGAGGCTAGGTTGCCTAGCCTCACCGCATGGACCCCACGTGGGACCGGAAAGTAGAAGCCGCCGGGCTGAGGGCCGCCGGAGACGAGCTCCACGTGGCCGGAGATTTCCCAGTGTGGGAGTGAGTATTTGCCAACGATCTGCCTCTTGTTCATGTTTGATTTACGAGGGAGTTGCTCAAAGTTTCCATTCGGGAGAAGCCCTACATGATTTCATGTTTCATTTTATATTTGGACCGTTGTGATATAACTTACAAAATAAAATAACTTATAAGGAATTATATATGTGATATATTCTTACCATCAAGAGGGACAGCCTGCCGTTGGACGTGAGAGCCACTGCAAAGAGAAAGAAGGAGGGCAAAGCAAAGAGAGTGAAGGAGAGACATTGTCTTTGTGAAAAGGGGACGATAGAGTAAAAACACCTGTATGGATAATACACGTATATATATATATGCGTGAGCCTTTAAGAGATTTATATAGTTGATATACAAAGAGGTCTTCGGGAATATTAAAAAAAAACATTAGGTTATTTAAAAAAGTATAATAAACAATTTGGTTATACGCCGACGTACGTGTATAATATAAGCGTATTGGTGATAGGAAGGAAATTAAATCAGACCACGTTGCAACACCAAACGAGCCGCAAGTTGTGTCGCGTTGTCCGTCATGTTATTCAATCCAAGAGATCCATGCATCGGGTGGCTTTACCGATACAAATTTAATTGTACCCTTTATTTTTTATTTTTCTTATGTTTTATTTTATATAACCATTTTATTAAATGTATGCAATTATATACACGACGGTGGTGTCAACCCGTAGATTCAATGCAACTATAGCATTCCCGTGAACGAGTTTTTAAGACAAGTCCATGACGTAACTAAATGCATATACGGGTTGTATGTTTGTACGTATACGTATAAATCAATGTACGGTAGGGATCTACGTGCTCCGTGCCGATCCATCGCCGTGATTTGCTCTCTCTCTAGTCAAATGGTGTTTAAAAAAAGGGTAGTGGGAAACCTATACCAATTCCCAAGAAACTTCTTGGCAAAATAAAATAAAAAGATAAATAAAGGCGGTTTGAAAATCATAAAGGGTTGAGGCATCAAGCATAAAGAAATATTGAATCGGCGTGACACCAAAAAAAAATAAAGGAGAAAAAAAGTGTGCTAATGTTAAAAATAATTTGTGGAATCCAAACTTTGGTAATTCAAACCGTTAAAATGAGAACGTTTTTGTTCCGTTCCGAATTCAAATTTCAAATTTGAAGATTTAAAATATGACTGTCTCCCGATCCCAAAATTAATTTAGATCTTAATCCAAAATATTGGGCTGTCCACAAAAATTTATTCAAGTAAGCAACCTGTAATATGAACTATTTCGAACGTACTCTTCGTACATAATCTCGTTGACTTTTCAAATATCACATGTTGAATGGGGAGTACGGAACATGGGACGACAAGACACGTGCAATGCAATGTGATTGTTAGAAAAAAATATTACTTTGAAAGAGGCTTTTATCAAAAATACCTCTATTATACTACAAAGACTTCACAACATACCCCTATAAAAATAATAAAAAAAATTACTTCAAAACATACCTTTATAATTATGTTATTCCCAAAATACCCATTGGTGTGGATCCCAATGACAGAAACATTAATGAGAAGAGAGAGAGAAAAACAGTTTTCGATTTCCTAGGGAAAAATTTAAATATTTTAAAATTTTTAAAACCCCCTCCATAAAAAAAAATAAATATTTTCGCGTGAATTTTAAAAATTTTCGGTGTGACCAGTGTGACTAGTGTGACCAGTGTGACCAATATGACTAGTGTGACCAAAACTAAAATTTGAACGGTGTGACCAGTGTGACCAATGTAACTAGTGTGACCAGTGTGACCAATGTGATTAGTGTGACCAGTGTGACCAATATGACTAGTGTGACCAAAACTAAATTTTGAACGGTGTGACCAGGGTGACTAGTGTGACCAGTGTGGCCAAAATTAAATTTTAAACGGTGTAACCAATATGACGTACCTTTGTTTTCGTTGTCAATCCGTTCCATTATCGCTCCGAACATTTATTTGAAATTAAATATGCGCCTCTTGCATATTTTTCGACAGATTTGCTATGCATCTATCTCATTTTCATAAAAAAAACACACGATTCACTCTAACAATCATAAAACTCAAACCCAAAACACAAAGTTTATGCATCGAACCAATCTCTTGTATTAATGAACTTACCTTCAGTTCTTGTCATTTGTCTTAGACTGACTCAAGAAGAAGATATGAGATCGTCGGTGAAGATATGTTCAACGAAATAACCATTTTCGTTTGTTTTTCTATGTATAAAAATGAAATGAGAAGGGAGAAAATGGAAGAGTTGAGATAAAGATAAGAGTGGAGAGAGAAAGTTAAGAAAGAAATGAAGAGTTGTCTAATAATGAAAACGAGAGAGATGAATTCAAAATGAAGAGAGGAGTATCACGTTACTTTTGTGAGAGGGTTAATTATGTCTTTTGTTCATTTTATTTTTTTTTCCAAAATTTTAGGGTTTTGAAGGGTATACCATGAAATCTTTGTAGCAAAGTAAGGGTATTTTTGCTATATTGCCCTTTGAAAGAAAGGAAAATAACTATTTAAAACAGAGAATATTCCAAAATAATATCTGAACTTCTCAATTTCACAAAATAAAACATAAATTTTATTTTTTATCAAATAAAACTTCAACTTCATTTTTCAGTCAAAAATAAATATGAACTTTATAACTTTTGTCATTTTTAACCCTATTGTTGATGTGGCGTTCCGACATCCTACGTGGTAAATCAACACTTTGACCGTATTTGACACATCATCGTCCACGTGTCACGATATCGAAATGCCACATCAGTAACATGATTAAAAATGAAAAAGATTATAAAATTCAGATTTATTTTTAACTGAAAAATAAAATTAAAGTTTAATTTGATAAAAAATAAAATTTAGGTTTTATTTTGTAAAAATTGAGAAGTTTAGATATTATTTTAGAATTTTATTTTAAAAAATCATCGTAGTCCGTACCACCACTTCATACGTCATCACATCAGATGTAATATAATAATCCATAAGTTAGTATATCTATTTGAAAAAAGGAAAATAAATTTCAACTGGGCTTCACATTGGATTTCAAGTGATAATAATCTATGCCCATGGGCTTTTTTGAAGCCCAACTATTAATTGTCAAAATTACTACGGAGTCCGTACCATTTCATAGATTTTGTTTTTGGATCAAACCCGAATCTAATATCAAAATAATTGAAAACATTTTTTTTTTGAAAAAATAAGTATTTTGTAAATGAAATTAGAATTTAAGCTAAAATCGAATGGAATCCGAAATTTTTTAAAAAATGAACACCTGCAGTTCTTTTTTTAATTCAAATTGGCAAATAGGGTGGGGAAATTGATGGATAACTAATCGAGATTTGATTTTATGAGAATTAAATGTTTTTAATTTGGAAGGGAAAACAAAAACAAAGTGGAATCAGTTCAAAGGAAGAGGGGGTCCATGAAATGCCTACAAGAAGAGAGACAAACCATATGATACTTGAGGTCATGATAGGGTGTCCGAGAAAAGCAGTCCCTGTCTCAATCATAATTTGTCCTAATTTCCATTTTTTAAAATAATTTTATTTTTTTTTTAAAGAGAGACCTTAGAAATAATTAATTAATTAAGAAAAAGGGGAAATGAAAATCACCCAAAAAAAAGTGGGGCTATATAATCTTTTTCCATCAACCTTCCACATGCCCCATTGGGTACACTACAAAAGATGGACAGCCGAGCCACGTCCTTTTGACAATCACTTATTAAAAGTTTTTTTTAAATGTACACTAAATAAATACCCTTATATATACATATATATTATATGTGTATATAACTACTGCTTATTCTTATTGTGTTAACATAATAACAGAATAAAGTTTTTGTAAGGCAATAATGAAAAAATAATAATGAAAATTTATTTGTTTCCAAATAAAATTTAAAAATATTATTTCTACTGTATCTTAAATTTTTTTGGTTAATTTACTGATTACCCCTTTAATTCACTGATTTTATAGTCAATTGTATTTCACTCTCAAATCTCCAAATTTGGATTATAATCTATATTAAAGTTTTGAATGTCGGTAAAAAAAAAAATCGAACCCTCCATACCCCTAATTCTATTTGGTTTTAAATTATGTGTGCAAGTAACAAATAATTTAATAATATATTATGCATATTCGTATAATTAACAAATATTCTTGATCTTGTTGAATTAAGTACGTGAGTTATAAACACGCCCCCAAGAATATCTAGGATTTTCTTTGCATGTGTTGTTCATAGAATTAGTGTAGCGCGTAGGTTGTACGGACAAACATGATATCATATGTGAAAAAATATTATTTTAATCGTCTCTCCACGAAATTCTTAATTGCAGCATAAATCTCGGCTTAATCAAAGCATAAATATGGTTTTGAAGGGAGACAAATGATTAGCGCAGAAAGTTTTAATTTAAAGCAACTCTGCTAATGGATTTAGTTCTAAATTGTAATCATAGGTTATATTTTTTTTAATATTAATTTTCGATTTTTAAAATTTTGCCTTTTTGAATATCCTCATTTCTCCTTTCACGAGTTTAAAGCAAAGAGGTGAATCCATGATTATGTCTCTCTCTCTCTCTCTTTTTTTCCCCCGGGTTTCAATTATCATATACCGAATTTTATAGCCAGAGTTATGATTATTCATGTTAAAGGGGAGGATATAAATATTTCAATGGCAAATTTAAAACAATTAATCATTTATTTTTCGTGTTGTCGGTATAGAGTACATGTTCCACTTGATTAGGTCATGTTTCAGATGTAGATATATATTTGATATTATTAATTTGTGTTTAATTTTATCCATATTCTAAATTCATATATGAAAATAATATAGATAAGTGTTATTCGCACGATATATTGTGAAATTTAAAACATCCATCGTATTTTTTTTTAAAAGCTATAGCATGTCCGACACAATTATCATTAGAAACCATTTAATAGGAAATAACTTGAATCTCGAAAACTTGCTATGACAATAAAGCAATTAATTTTAAAAAAAACAATAAATCAATTAGAAAATCACATTAACGGATAGCTTTGGATTAATTACGCTTAACAAAAGGGATTAAGTTGTGTAAATATTTTTTATTTATTCTATAATTTTCAACGAGAGAGAGACTTTGATGAGATGGTGGTGGGACCAGACAAAGTTCGGTCCTACATGTCCGGGCGGTGCACATTCCCTCTTACTCATCCATTCAGTGGACCCCACCCTTCCTAATCCCAAAAGAAAATGTCTAATATTCCCATATTTATTTATTTTTTTAAAATATTTATAGAATACGAAATAATCAGTCAAGTAAAATATTTTTTTTATTAATTCAAGGTATTGGTATGTTCATAAGAAATCTAACAAGATTTAATCAAACTAACCATCAATTAATCATAAAATTGTAATCTAAAATGAATTTAAATTTAATAAAATTATAAAACTAGTTTAAAAAAATTAAAATAAATATTTTATTAGAAAGTAATCAGATTCAAATATATTTTATACTAAATTAAAAAAATTAATATATGAAATATGCAGATTATTCGGAGAAATATTTATAATACCTTTTAATCGGTAGCTATTTACCCCTTTGACTGTTTTAAAAAAAAAAAGCCATGTTAATGTTTTAACTGCATCATTTCACTCCAATCCAATGAAAGGAGTTCTGAGTGAATTCGTCATGCATTTTGGATCGTATAAATAGGCAACGTTTTCTAACTGTATTTATATATGTGGAAAACGAGTATATATATATATATATTATATAAGGTTTTCACGTAAAAATCCTATTTATAATTCAGGCAACAAATAAGTAAAATAACAGTAAGCATTATAAATTATTTCAATCGAAGCACACGGTTAAACTTGCTTCTTTAATCATCAATCATAATCACATCTCATTATTGAAATAAATAACAATCACTACATTCCTATCATGCATGAGCGCGCCTATACATACATATACATATATGTATTTGTATAATGTTCAATTACGTCATTTTCCGATGCCGGGGAAGATGCCAAAGGGACAGCGGCACGACAAATAAACCAAACAAAAACAAAAAAATACAGTCATTTGTGGGTTTCTTTAGCAGCATGGTAAATTAAAGACACAAGTCACACAACCTAATTAAAAAATATATATTTTTAATCAATAAACGTAACCGTCATTACTTTTTATTGGAGAAAAAAAAAGACATACATAGATATTGATGTAATATGTTTTTTTTTGCTATATATATATGTATATAATATACCAATTAATTAAATTATAAACTTAATTCGTAAGACTTTACGTTTCTAATAAATCAAACGTGTCATTACTTTTTACAAGCTTTGAGGTTGGTTTTTCTTTTCCCGATATATTTAAATTTATAAAACAAGATATGCCCCGGATTTATATAAGATCACAAGACAGTAATTTTTTCACAGATCAGTCTTTCAAATAACATATGTTTTAAATATTCAATGCATTATATATCGATTGAAATATTTGAGGGTATAACCTTTTTTATATATTTATTAATAGAATAGTACACTTGAATACATGAACAACATACACCGTTGAGGTTATTTAATATTTTAATATTTCCTTTTTTTTAATAAACATCATTTTAAATTCTGAAAACTGCGATAAATAATAGAAACTAAAATAATCCTTCTTAATATAAATTCGGTAACAGTGAAAATCATGTAGTTTTTTAAATCTCCATCAAGAATTTTTCTCTCAAAGTTGGGGGAAATATCATTTGTTGTGTATTGCAAACATGAGAGAGACAGTTTGGGGGCAGAAATGGTCAGAGGAGAGAATTATCAAACGTACAGTCCATATTTGCAGTACAAATTATTATTATTTTTAATACAAAAGAAAATGAAAAAGGGAGAAAATGTGTCAGACAGATTTATGCAGCCTTCGTTCGTTCGTTCATTCATTCATTCATTCATTCATCACTTGCACTGTCTCGTGAAAAAAATTAACTTTGCATCAGAAATTTCTATATTAAAATATATCTATAAGGGACCGTAGAATAATTCCCTCCTTTCCCTCAGTGCGCTCTCTCTCTCTCTCTCTCTCTCTCTCTCTCTCTCTCTCTCTGTGGAGTGAGGATCTTTGTTTGGCCTCTGCAATCGTATTTCCGTGTTATAGGAAAAACAAGAATTGCGCTTCATCCCTCCGCATAGGCCCCGCTCTAAGTTCATTGATCAGTCTCTTCCCCTCCCTTTTGTATACTTTCCCCCTTTCTCCATGGCAATTTCTTTGATGGGTTTCTCCCTCTTTTCACCCTGAAATTATGGGTTTTTCTCTCTCCTCTCCCCCTGCGACACTCAAAAGCAGTTCCTTCCTTTCTCAGGAATCTCAGCTGGGTTTTGTCCGGAAACAGCAGTCAACAGTTATCTCTACTCCAAAACCCGGACTTTTCCCAGCTTTCATGGCGAAAAGACCAAGGGTTTTCTTTTTCCTTTTTGTTTTCACCTTCTTGGCGGTCCTTCGCTTGAGTTAAATCTCGAATCGATGTTCTTCTGCCAATCAGTCTCTTGGTGGTAACTGTTCTTTGTGTGCGTGTGTGTGTCTGGAGGAAGAACAAAGAAGAATCAGTTCTTGTCCGGCCTGAGAAGAAAAATGGCCTTTTGGTGCATGTTAGTTCTTCTGATTGCTGGGTTTCTGTCGAAATCCGAGCTGGTGGAAGCTCAGCCAAGTGAAGGAGCCACATTGATCGCCATTAACAGAGAGCTCGGAGTTGCTGGGTGGGGTGACAATGGCACGGATTACTGCACATGGACCAGGCTCAAATGTGGCGCCAACCACTCGTTTGTTGAAATGCTTGATCTTTCAGGGCTTCAGCTTAGAGGTAATGTCACTCTAATCTCTGAGCTCAAGAGCTTGAAACATCTAGATCTCTCGAGCAACAACTTCAACGGACCAATCCCCCCGGCTCTTGGCAACTTGTCCGAGCTCGAGTTTCTTGATTTGTCCCTGAACCGGTTTGCGGGGAAAATTCCAGCAGAGTTGGGCAAGCTCAGGAGCCTCAGAGCCCTTAACCTTTCCAATAACTTGCTAGTGGGAGAGATACCTGACGAGCTTATGCTTCTGGATAAGCTGGAGGAGTTTCTGGTCTCTAGCAATGGCTTGAACGGTTCCATACCTGACTGGGTCGGGAATCTGAACAATCTCAGGGTTTTTACAGCCTACGAGAACGAACTGGCGGGCGAGATACCTGATGGGTTGGGCTCGGAATCTGAATTGGAGTTGTTGAATCTTCACTCGAACCGGCTCGAGGGGAGGATACCAGAGAGCATCTTTGAAAAGGGTAAGCTCCAAGTTTTGGTCTTGACGCAGAATAGGCTAACTGGCCAACTCCCACAATCAGTAGGAATCTGCAATGGCCTTTCTAGCATTAGGATTGGGAATAATGAGCTTGTAGGAGTCATTCCAAGGACAATTGGAAACATCAGCGCCCTTACTTACTTCGAAGCAGACAGTAACCATCTCTCGGGTGAGATTGTTGCAGAGTTTTCCAAGTGTTCTAATCTCACTCTGCTAAATTTGGCATCAAACGGGTTGACAGGATCCATCCCCACAGAGCTTGGCCAGCTTATGAATCTTCAAGAGCTGATCCTCTCGAGTAATAGTCTCTACGGTGATATCCCGGAATCGATTCTCGGGTGCAAAAACCTCAATAAGCTTGACTTGAGCAATAACAGACTCAACGGCACCATACCGAAGGAAATCTGCAGCATGCCAAGGCTTCAGTTCTTGCTCTTGGACCAGAATTCCATAAGAGGGGAGATACCTCGCGAGATCGGAAACTGTCTGAAGCTGCTTGAGCTACAACTGGGTAGGAATGACTTGACTGGAACTATCCCTCCCGCGATCGGTCGGATGAGGAATTTGCAAATAGCACTCAACCTGAGCTTCAATAATCTCCATGGATCGCTGCCTCCCGAGTTAGGGAAGCTTGACAAGTTGGTTTCTTTAGACGTCTCAAATAATCTGCTCACGGGTTCCATACCGCAGTTGCTTAAAGGTATGCTAAGCTTGATCGAGGTGAATTTCTCCAATAACCTCCTGAATGGCCCGGTTCCAAACTTTGTCCCCTTCCAAAAGTCGCCAAATTCGAGCTTTTCTGGTAACAAAGGGCTTTGTGGGGAACCGTTGAGCTCTTCGTGCGGGTATCCCGATGGTCTGGAACACATGAAATACACTCACAGGGTTTCATACAGGATCGTCCTAGTGGTAATTGGTTCTGGAGTGGCCGTCTTTGTATCTGTCACTGTGGTTGTTCTGCTCTTCATGATGAGGGAGAAACAAGAAAAAGCTGGTAAAAGTGTCGACCTTGAAGAAAACTCGGAGGATAACCAACCGACAATCATAGCGGGAAACATCTTTCTCGAGAATCTTCAACAGGCTATTGATCTAGACGCAGTTGTGAAAGCAACTCTGAAGGAATCAAACAAACTCAGCACAGGAACTTTCAGTTCGGTCTACAAAGCAGTCATGCCTTCTGGGATGATCATTTCGGTGAAGAAACTCAAGTCTGTGGACAGAACCATAACCCATCATCAAAACAAAATGATCAGAGAGCTGGAAAGGCTTAGCAAGCTTTGCCATGATCATTTGGTCAGACCAATCGGGTTCGTGATTTATGAAGATGTCGCTCTGCTGTTGCATCAGCATTTCCCCAACGGGATTTTAGCCCAGTTGCTTCATGAGTTCACCAAGAAACCAGAGTACCAACCTGACTGGCCAACAAGACTGTCTATCGCCATTGGAGTAGCACAAGGGTTAGCATTTCTCCACCATGTCGCCATCATTCACCTCGATATTTCCTCAAGCAACGTTTTTCTGGATGCCGGGTTCAAACCCGTACTCGGAGAAATCGAGATATCAAAGCTCCTAGATCCATCTCGAGGCACTGCAAGTATCAGTGCAGTTGCAGGCTCATTCGGCTACATTCCTCCAGGTGAAACTCTACTCGCAAACGTATGAACATTAACTCTATAAACACCGACCCTTTTCTCATTATGCCATTCCCTGTTTTCCTTCAGAATACGCGTATACAATGCAAGTTACCGCACCAGGAAATGTCTATAGCTATGGGGTTGTGTTGCTTGAGATACTCACCTCGAGAGAGCCGGTAGACGAGGAATTTGGTGAAGGAGTGGATTTGGTGAAGTGGGTCCATGGAGCTTCAGCAAGAGGAGAAACACCAGAGCAGATACTGGACGCAAGGCTTAGCACAGTGTCCTTTGCTTGGAGGAAAGAAATGCTAATGGCTCTGAAAGTGGCATTACTCTGCACTGATATCACTCCGGCAAAACGGCCAAAGATGAAAAAAGTTGTGGAAATGCTTCAGGAGATCAAGCAGAGCAAGTGAAGAGAGGACAATGATGGCCACACCCCTGAATGGATGTAACTTTGTATCCATATTTATAAGCTTTTTGGTACACAGGGATGTAACTTTGTATCCATATATATATAAAAAAGCACTGAAGAAAAAGCTTGCTCTTCTGTGTGTTGTAGGGTTTTTACCTAATAGTGATCTCTCTGTGAGCCAGTGGATGAATGTGATATGATCAAAACAAAGTACAAGAAATTGGATGGCACAAAAAAAATCAATAGAGTTGTCATCATTTATTTATAACCCAGCTAGAGAGGCCGAAATCTTTGGCATAAACGAAGAATGGAATAGGTCTCAGAGCCACCATAACATCTAATAGGGCTTTGAGTGATGTCAAAAGGCAAGACAAGAACATTGCTTAGAAAGAGATCATATGTAGAAGAAATCGGAAAAGATGAAACAGAGGTGGTTCTCATTCGGGGCGGGACTTGACAATGAAATTCTGACGGCTGATTGGGTTCATGACGACTGGAGGACCAGCGGTTCTGGGCCACGCTTGGAATTTCTCATCAGTGGCTGCCCCCCACTCCTTGTTAGATACCGTTCCCGGTGTAGTGCCTGAGACCAAAGAGGCAAAATCATCAGCCTTTTCTCATCCTAAAGATAAGGAGCTCAAAGCGGCAAAAGAAACTTGACCAGAACTTGCCTCCGAATATCTTGTCATCAGAAACAAGTTTGTCACATATGTAGGCTATCCCGAAAGATCCCACGGTAGCACCAATGATGTATTTGGCTCTAGATGCAGCCATCTTCCTTGAACTGAATTGACAAAACCAATCATCATTGCACATATCAGGGAACTGCTATCTAAAATACCCCGAGGAAAACCTTAAAACTTGCTTTCTGTAGTGCAGTTTCACGGGAAGGAATATGTTCCCGCGGTCAAATAGAAGTTACACAGTAGCAGATAACTAACTTCTATTATCAGAATCATCTAACATTCACACAACTAAAACTATAGTGGCCCTAAATATAGAGCTACGACCCCGAATCAAAATTTGAACTTTTTTGCAACACTACCCGAATACATGTAAAGGAAGGATCAAACTCACAACACTGCAACCCAACAGAAGAACAAGGACAGTTCGTCATCTAAAAGATTTTAAAATCGCTGCTGCACCAGGCAATTCAACTGATTGCTAATAAAATATCTCACATCGTAGTTTCATTGTCATTGACAACAAAATCATATTGATCTCCAAAAATTTCCAATTAATGACAATCAACCAACCATATAGACAGCCACAGGGAACGCATCAGAACATCGATACATGAACAGAATGCGTCGGAAAAAAAAAACGAAATCAGGACTCAGGAGATAGATCTCGTGTTTGGTTCGAAACCTAAACAACGGTCGATGACCAGATGATTAACAAAAGCAAAACCCAAGCATCAAACGGAAAAAAAAAGGCCAAATAAGACGGGTGAATCGGAAAATTTTCAGAAGAAAGGAAACCGATCTACGACTAACCAAAAGAGAGAATCGATCAGACAGTACGAGAAGGGTAGAGACAGAGAGCCACGAAAACCCTAATCTTCACAAAATGGGAAAACGAAGGAGAGAGATTACCACTTCACCGAGTAGTAGACAGAGAAGAAAGTCGTTTTCCAGGAAGCAACAGTGGTAAGAGAAGAGTTCAACAACATTAATCCCTAAGCTTAATGGGCCATAGGCCCAGAGAACATATCCATCCTAAGCCCACAAAAAAGGATACACATGGAAACGGCACACATTCTACACAAAAAACGACAAGGTGTTTGTCAACTTTAATCATCATCATTTTCCGTAATCTTATATGGATTTGCCTGTAGAATGTGTGCTTGATGTTTTTTTTTTGTTGGGTGACCGGATATCCTGGGATGCGTCCGGATCTGATCATAAATCCTCATGCAGACAACATCTTTTCGTTTTTCCCCTCCTTGAGAGGAGTCTTTCCTGTTGTTGGACATCGAGTTCTTGCCCGCTTCTGTCTCTTCTCAATGCCGTAACTCTTATGTGTTGCTTTCTTTTTACAGGGTGGAAGTTTGAATGGAGCGTTTTTGGATGCGACCCCGTTCCCCGATGCTGTAAAGATACCAGATGGAGAAGAGAGAAAGAAAGGGTCGAGCTCGCTTGTTGATGATCTAGGTTCCATGTTGAGGAAAAAGGGTTTCAACTGTCATGGAACCGAGGTTTTATACAGTGGGGTATACGGGACAGAACTCGCCTGAGAGATATTTGTCGGGCCTGTTTACTACCAGCGGTTACGGCACATGGTTTCGGACAAATCTTGTTCTTATATATCCATTCATGTTAACCTTCATCTCGAATCCGTTTGTTCTTGCTTGCACCAGTGCGATCCACGGGACAAGGATCAGATAATTCGGCAGCCGATCAAGGGAAGGAAATGGGGAGGAGGAATTCGTTTCGGGGACGCTATGCTTGCACATGGAGCAGCGTATCTATTGCACGACAGGCTCCACACCTCTTCCGACCACCACATTGCGGATGTATGCCAGTTGCCAGGCTTGCAAGACGAGCAAAGGCATGGAAACTGTTGCTATGCCTTGTGTGTTTCGTTACTTAGCCGCCGAATTAGCCTCTATGAACATTAAGATTCCTCTTCAGCTAAGTAATGGCAGAGAAGCAGCAGCCTGGTGATGGACCGACCTTCCTTCATTACGGTTCACGTTTGTACGCTATGTACCATAACACATATGATTTCTGCACCAGTTTACCAGTTTTGTTTCCGTGTTTTCTTTTTGGCCGCATATGTTTATTAGTTCTTTTTAAAATCGAGGATTTCTTATATATTTTACAAATGGGTAATTATGTAACAGTCTTTCCGAGATATTGGAAAAATAGGAATCAATACAAAAACATCCGGATTTGTTTTTTTTTTCTTCGGTAAAACGATAGTTACCTTTTCTTTTATTTTTTAAAAAAATTGTACTATATGTTGAACAAAAAACCCAAATTGAAAATGTACACCTGTTCTCTTTCATTTTTATTATTAATTAGAAGACAAGTAGAATATTTTGTAGGGGCAAAGAATTTCGTATATCAATTTTCTCCACTTCAAAGGGCTTAAAAGCCATTTTTGTTCGTTGTACATAATACCCATACGTATGGAAGTAAAGGAACAAAAGAATTGGATTAACGAGAAAGAAAGAATGAAAAAAGACAGACCCGTGAACCTATAGAGACTGACCTAGCAAATGATTGAGACGTCAAAAAAAAAAAAAAAAAAAAAAAAAACAAGCACAAGGGTATTTATCCTGGCTTATGATGTTATGAAGAAGCAAACCATGAAAACGATTCAACAGCCAGCTGCTTTGAGGAAGTTATCGTAAGGGCTCGAGGCTGGTAACCTAAATGATTGAGCCTGGTTTTGAAATTCTGTAGAGCATCGTGGCTGTACCGTTCCCACAAGCGTTCTTGGAGACGCTGTCTCGATTTCTCCGGGGAGGAACGGGTTCCCGACCTGCATTTCAAGATCCAATCTTAATGCATGATTTCAGACAAAAGCATTATTGATGGGGCACGAGCCAAAAAGCTTGGGATGGTGTTGCGGTTTCAGTGACCGGATGCCAAACTGAACTTGTTAGCACATGTCTGAATTCAGTTTTTGACTATGAAGCAAACAGCGACAGACAGAACAGAAGTGAATGCAGAAAAAGGGTGTATGAAATGTACAGAGAAACGTGAAAGACATACCGCCGCAGGAAAGCAAGAACTGATCTGAGGATACGGAGTTGTGTTCTTCGTTGCTTCATCATGTTTTCGAGGAGACAAGTTAATCAAGCTCTCTTGTCTTAATTGGGGGTTCAAAAGACTCGAGATCTTCTGTTGCTTCCCCATTAACAGAGCTTCACAATGAAGTGTCATTTCTTTGTATGAAACGTCACTTGCTGTATGGAAGGAAATTCTACCCGCTTGATGATTTGTATCCACAACCTGTATGCGAAGAAGGCAAATACACAATTTTAGATCCATACTATTTTGAGAAATGGGTTTCATTTTCTATGGAAAACAGAGGATGGTACATATGATTACCGATTCTATAAGTTGATTCACACTTAGGAGTTGCGGAATTTCTGTTAGTTTTACAGGATTATTCTTGGCATGGATTCCAATTCCATCCCCAAATTCTTGATCCTCTAGAGAGAAAGGCACTGTGTCCTGAAGACAAAAGTTGAAGTATGTAGATCGAAAGCTTCAAAAGAAAATGATTGGGGAAAGCAGAAGGCAAAAATTTACCTCCTTTAGGGATTTGGCATCTCTGGAATCAACCCTGTGAATTTTCTGGGCGGCTTCCAAAAATCGGGTTCCAAGTGGACATGCATCATCAGGCAAGAATTCGCTAAGAAGCTGCTCCCGCATTTTGTCCATTTCAGTCTGCAGAAAGAGTTTACACATCTTTAGCTTACTGTTCCCATCAATATAACAAATTTACCTTAAAACCGGAACAGAAAGTCGGGGTTGAGTCCTTGGCAAAAGGTGGCAAACAGGAAAAAAGCTTACGTTGCACATATTTTCCAAGCTTTTGACAATTTCAGCAACAAGAATTTCTCTGCTTTGTTTCTTGGAGAATGATACATTTGAAAGAGTATCTAAAGCAGAAGCATCATCTTCTTTTGAACCATAAGCAGTTGTCTGCCGCTGATCTGGTTTGACAGCCTCCAACTTGCGATCTTCAACCAAGTGTAAAAATGGGTCTACCTGATTCACATGGAAGAGGACGTTAAAAGAAAAATGACGCAAATCCATTCTTTCATGCAAAGACACAACTTAACATAAGAACTAAGGAGGGGTTGGGAAGGGACGCTCTCCTAACAGTTATGCCAAAAGAAACAACACACCAAAGTGGCAAAAATTTTATCAAAATGATCGACATACTGTTTCTCCCTGAAGTGCTGCTTTGGTGAAATCTACCAGAGGAAGGAGATTGAATGCTTTAGAGGAAAAGAGAATCATCGAGGTTGCCAGAGTAAAGAGTGACCTTCGTCTTGATGGAGGAAGAGGTCCTGAAACAGTGTGATTACATGATTCTCAACTCTGAAAAAATGTGGAGCAGAGTTCCTAAGCCACATAATAGCTTCTAAACAGATGAAGCCTAAACAGAACCATGCATCGTGCCAAAGATCATTTCTACATGGTTTTTTCATCAGCGATAATCTAGGGAGATCACGAGAAATCAATAAAGTTGTGATTCTCATCTTGAGTCATGACAGACCACAAGTGTTCTTTATTCAGACAGATGAAAGTTCAAACGTTCAAAAATTTGACGCATCTTTAGTAATTAGGTCTCAAAGACCATTTTGTTAGACCAAAAACTTTCCTGCAGCATCATGGTAAACCTTACACCACTCTAGTAACAAACCAAGATTAGGGTTCAACTCAGAGACAGATTGGAAATATCTGGAAACTCACCTCCTTCCATAAGAGAAATATCCCGCAAAGAAAGTGCCATTTGGAAACTTCGAATCAAGGCCTCATGACTGGAATTCTGAAAGACCGTATTTTTTGCAAGGTTAAATAAAAACAAGAATGAAATCTCTTCCGTAGTGAAAGTCACTTTTCATAGAGATGCGAATCTTAAAAAAAAGACAATGAAGATGCCAAGGCACCTAGTACTCATATGCGACATTTACGTTACCTTGGCACGAGAGAACAGCAATACAAGACTGTATGTGTTAGCAATAGCTTCATAATTCTCCGGTGTATTTGCAGGAGATATGGACTGTGCCCATATTGATGATAGCAGGACATTTATCTGGTGACTACTAAGCCTTAGACAGCCAACATCCTGAGAAGAGAAGCAGAGAACAATTGGAAACTCATCAACAGAACCATCTCATTAGCTAAGCTGCAAAAGACAGTACAGTAAACAATAACAGATTTGAAAGGTTGTAGCCATCTCATTGGCTACCTAGCCCGGATAAGCCTTTGTCCATGATTATGACCATTTGTAAGACTAAATGTATAGAAATCATATCATTATATGTAATTAATTAGAGGAGATTACATTCATCCACAAATGCTAAGCCTCAGTTAGATCTGTTTGTGCTCTAAATGCAATAAGACTCTACAGCCTAAATACAGGTGTATCAGGAAAAAATGATGACAAAGTACTCTAATATGCATTATCATATGAAGAAAGGTCACAAGGACATACCGGGTCAGAGTTTGAAACATTCACGGAGTTTGCATCAACCATGGCCACTGTTTGATTCTTAGTGCTATATGTCTGATTGTATGAGGATTGCAATCTGCCAAGGATATCACCATTATTACTTTGGGGTTCATCCTCTGACATGACACTTTCATTTATGATCTGGTCAGAGTTTAGCATTGAGGAAAATTTATCCTTCTTCAACTTCTCAAAAAGGGCAGCTGAGGAGGAAAAGACAGACACAGTTCTTGAAAGTGATCGAGGAAGACCCATGCCTTTCTTTAAGTCAGCATTAACTAAGGAAGGGCGTGGGCAAACTGAGGTTGGCACAAGCACAACAGAAAATATGCGGTGAGCACCAATCCGTGTTTCATGGTCTGGATGAACCATGGCTTGAAGTAACTGATGGAATAAGGCCTCAGGGAAAACCTGAAATGAAAAGGAATACTCAGTCATTTCACTGGCATGGGTGTAATCTCTCTACAAGATGAAATTAATCAAAATATCAAATGCATTCCAAAAATTTGCCTTGTTTTGATACGGGAGATTTGGTATAGAGGCTATTATTTGAGCAGCACGAAAAACAGCAGCAGTCGTGGTTCTTGCGACATCTGTAACAGCTGAGATATTCTCCAACATCATCGCCATGGCATCTAGAATTGGGCTAGCTTCCCCAACCTGATAAGTGTGATTGATCAGCTTCGAGCATCTTACATGTGCTAAGATTTTGGTGAATGTTAAAACCGAACTAAGAAGAAAAGGTTAAGAAGTTAATTTAATTAGAGAAAAAAAGAAGAGCCCTACCTTTCCCGATAGCTCGATGAGGCACTTATCAACAGCTACAGAAATCAATCTGTTCAACTTTGTTCCATCAGCCCCCAAGTTTGCATCATCAAGAGAGAAATGCATGCTCTTTCTCAGGTGCCTCATGATATCACTTATTGCACCAACTATTGCCACTGAGTGCTCAACGTTTGCGTGTTCAGCAAGAGAGGTGGTAACCTCTAAAATATCAAGCTGAATGATTGGCTGTTTAAGAACGTTTTTATGATCAAGATGCTTGATCAACATGGACAACAGAAAGTGTGTTCCTTGCCCTGTTAATTTTTAAACATGTCACATGTGTAATCTCATAACATTGATCATTTAAGAAGGGTGAACAAAAAAAACAAAGAAAGCAGCATACCAGCTTTCTCCATTAAAAATTGAAGATCCCTCAAAACTGGGAATGCCATAGAATTTTCCTTTGACCATAGATTTCCCTCATCGAAGTAACGGAACAAAGACTCCAGTATACGTCTAGCCTCCTCACCTAGCTTGGCCATGTTCTGCAGGCAAACTTTGGACCAAAAGCTAGGGTCTTGGGAATCTTCCCTGAGAAGAAAAGATATTGTTCAGAACGGCATAAAATCCGGAAACTGAACAAAATCAAATTATACACAAATAATTACATTTTCACATTTAGTTCACCCTTGTCATTCACAACGTTTCTCCACGAAGGAACAGATATAAGAGAGCCTGCATGAGCGGTGAGACCTTCATTTTTTAAAACTTCGTTTACCCATTTTCTGTCACTCTCGTTAGCATCTGATTGTATTTTGGGGTGGCCGTAATTTTCCAAGACCACAGCGACAACCTGCCATGCATGTGTAACAAATGTCAGTCAGAAGACAATGTGATAACTATGATCATGAGTTATCTCTCAGCACTTTACGACACCAAAATGTAGCAATAGGATCATGTTCAACTAGTAAGTAACCCTGATTGATTGTGACAGTATATTAAAATTTTGGCCAGTGGATAAAACGACAACTAGCAGATATCGTCTTTCATCATCAATTCTAGAATTACCACAAATCAATTTTTTTTTTATGGGTATAAATTTTGTAGGAACCCAAACACCCAAGTACACGTGAAGAGAAAATATGAACCAGCATATAAACATGAGATTTACTTACATTGTCAAAGTCGCTGAATATATGAGAGTATTCTCCCATTAGCCAAACCTGGAACCAGAAATTGCATCAGAAGATGCTTATGAAGGGTGTCGTAATGTTTTACGAATAATGACAAACAAATCACCATTGATGAAAGAGCTTGAAGTCCTGCTGCACGTAGATTCCTTGACCTATCATCATCCCCAACTTCCCGTGCTAATTGGCACAGTTTTGGAATAAACCCTTCTAAGTTGTTTATGTAGCTGCCATCCTTCTGCAAATTTTAAAAGCATGAATCAGTAATGTCATCCCATTAGTTCACGTGTCAGGCTACTAAATCCAAAGACACTAGGTATTAGTAATTTAGTTACATGACAATTCTAGAAAAATATAAAAGGCTGACCTGATTATTTACAAAATCGAAAAGAGTCTGGCATCCAATTATCTGCATTTCATCTTGTCGAGTTTGATCCAAAAGGGCTTGCACAGCCCTTAACAAGCCACTAGCGAAAAGGGTCCTTCAAAATAAACAAAGAAAATGGATCAACTTAGCAAGACAGACCGATATAATCCTGCCAGTCATGACAATCCAAGGCTTTTGAAAACGAAAATGTATTGGATTTCTTCTATGTCAAACTACCACAGAGTTTAGGATATGATCACAAAAAAACTGGATCTTGTGAAAACAGAAATAAAAAGAAGAAATGACCTCACATTTGCTCCTTGCAAGTGACTAGCAGCTTCCTGTATATGCACATGACTATTTTTGCAGACTGGAAATTCTCATTCCTCAATTCCTTGTAACACCTTTGCTCGAGAGAATTTGAAATCTGGGCAATCCGAATCTTCGGTTAGCAGCAAAATATATTAACAGTATCAAATTCAACAATCGTAGAGCCAGTAGATTTTACCTTTGGCATACGCAAGGGATTCTTAGCAGCATAATCGCAGAGTTTTCCAATCTTCCATTTGGCTCCTGTTGAAGTAGCTTAGTCAATGGGCGAATTACTAGGGTTTAACGCAGTTGATGATTTGGTGGGTTCTCTTCTGTTAATGACAATTTCGCGTCTTGTCATATGATGATTAGACTTCACCTTTCTACTTTTGGTAACAGAATTAGGCTTTTGATGTGTCTATGTGTTTTGTCCCCTTGGTCCTTGCTTCTGTTTCTGCTTCCGGAAGCTTTGTTGCTTAATTTGGGTGCCTTCTTTTGTTAGTATCTTGTTAGGGTGCATGATTTTTGTTTTGATTCTTCTTCTGGTGTTGATGTATTTGAAACTTGTGCCTTTATGATGTTGAATTTCTCGTTTGTTTTTATGTTTTTACATGTATCTGCATTCTAATTTATCGAACCTTGTAGAAAATGTTACCATTTCCAAAACTTTTCCTCATAGGGAGTGAGACTCCTAGTTGTTCCTACACGAATTTCCAAACTAGAAGAAACTTCCTTGATGCCGGAAAAAGGCTAGGTGCTAATCTAAACCTACGATACACCTAAGAAGAAAGCTCTTTCTGCCATCATATTACAAATTATATATGCCTAAATCATGGAACAATGGCATGTAAATCAGTTTGCATAAAAAGGACGATTCAGATCCACCAACTTTTATGTAGACAAGGGAATGAATGCAAGACAGGAACCAAGCCTTTAGTGCTTTCAATAACAAAACCAATGCAAGTCAAAGCCAGCCACCAAAAACAATATGCATAAGCAATAGAACCGAGGTATAGTGTCTTAACATATGGAAACAAGAAGGAAAGTGACATCCAAAATATATAGATAACAAGAAAGCAAGTCTACACCAAGAAAAATTAAAGGGGAATGGTAAATGAGCCGACCTGATTGCGAGGGAAAATGTCAGCAATCAGCTTCTTGTACCTCTTCACAGGCTGTCTAGACCTTGCTCTTAGCGCAGGACAAAATACGCAAAGACTACCACACACGGGCAAAACTTGCCTCGAGAGTACACCGGAGACAGCGCTCATTCTTCAACCAGGATTCGAGCCAAAAACCACTGATCAATACAATCCTCAATTCCTATGAAAATCTTTTCAACTCTCGTTTCCTTTCCAATCCACCGAGAAAAACCCTGAAGCTTCCTCGGTCAAGAAGAAAAATAAAACTCTACGAACAAATTCAACGCTCTTTGAACTCAGAATACCAGCCTGACACAAACCAAACAATTGTAGAATCATTACAATTGATCATACAAAACCCATTTCATCGCATTGAAAATTCGATGATTCAGACTCCTAAGGACAGAATTCCCAAAAATTATAGAATCATCGTTTCCCGATGAATCGTATGACCAGATGACACCTACCGAGATTGATTCACGCTTCGACGAATACAAGGCGGAATCAGATACGATTTCAACGCAATGCTGGTAAGAAAAAACATCAAACCGGTCACACCCTAAACAATGACGAAACAACAAAAAGGAAGAGAATTTTACCTCCGATTAAAGAATGAATGAGGTGACGGAAGGCTGAAAATTCACCTAGAACGCGAAGAACACGAATGAACAACACTCCAGAAATTGATCCTCGCGGACACACGGGAGAAATTCAAATCCCTCTCCTCTCTCTCTCTCTTCCTCCCTCCCTGTATCGGAGAGAATTCAGGTTTTTTCTCTCTCACTAGAATTTAGTCACCGGATCGTCCGTCGGCTTCCAGCTATGAACAGTTTTTTTTTTTCCTCAAAAAAAATATAATAAATAAGTTTCAACGGCACGACGCGTCGACGCGGGGTTCCAACTTTGTACAGTTTCGTTGTTATGTTCATTAGAGACGTTAATATTATTTTTTAAATGTTTAATAACGTGGGAGGAGAAATCAGAGCCGTTGGATGATGCGGATGCTGAGAGAAAGGTAATCTCTCTCTCAACCGTGTATGTATGATCCATTCTTGCCAGCGAATACAGTGCAAATAAAGCAAACATAATCACTTATTTAATTTTCGGATTTTTTTTTAAAAAAAGCGTATATCCACATATCGTGAGGTAATAATTGAAATGACCTGGAAATCTATATATATAAACATATCTTAACTTTAGGGGTCGATTCGTAATAATGATATAAGTTGGGGGAGAATACATAAATGATAAATTTAGGACAATGTTAAATGAGCTCCAAGAGCAAAACACCTGAAAACAAGTTAAAAGGTTAAGACAATAGAAAGAAGAATGTTGGAATTGGTACATTATTAAGCATAACAAATAGCAAGAACAACCAACATTATGAAGATTAGACATCAGTAAATCGTATATTTACCATGGACAGGTAAATGGTTGGAAAATCCAGTATTTTGCTATCAGATCAAAAGGCCAGGATTGAAGAACATAGACAGAACTATAAAGGATTCATCCAAAAGTAAACTCTCCAAAATCACAGGGCAGGACCCAATACACAGTTTGAGACTTTGAGGAGCAAAAAAAACCGATCGAAACCTGCAACCTATAGTATAAATGATCGAACAAAACTGTCTAAAGCCTGATAATACTTCCCTCGTGGCGCCAGAACCCCAATAAACACAAGGAGGCATTGTATTTAGGCTTGTTCTTCAACCTCGGCGATGAGCTTGCTGCTCGGAAGAGGCTTCCCCAAGAGATCAGTTTGCTCTTGGAGGGGCGACTTGGTGAACCGCGTCTCTCTCCAGAACTCAGGAGTCAGGAAACCATATGACTTCAGAAGGCAGTCGAAGGTTGCCTGTGCAAACAAAAACACAAGGATTGATCATGCTGGTCAAAATCAAGTGAACCAACAACAATGACTTGAATTGAAGATGATGAAACCCACTCATGATCCACCAAATGCATTCGCATAACAGAAGTTGAATGTAAATATCGAAAACCAATATTCATTGGCATAATTCACTTAGCATACATAAAAGGCAGGATTGTTATATAAAGCTCGCAGCAACTGAATAATATGAACTAAAACCCTAGCAATCACCAGCATACATACAACCCAAACTACACAAGTAGAGTTAAATCTAAGACTTTTCAGCCAAAAACAAGGGAACAAATATGGCCAACCATCAAATTAACAAACCCCCCATCAATGATAAACAGTTAAAGATAACAAGATCAGACCTTTACGAAGTTTCCGAGGGTTTTGGTGGAACCTCTGGAAGAAGTGAAGACGTCCTCAATTCCGGCGAACTGAAGAACCTTCTTTGGAACCCTAGCCGCAACAATACCGGCACCTCTGGGAGCTGGAACCATCCGGACAGTGACGGAACCACACTTTCCGGTGACCTTGCACGGCACAGTGTGTGGCTTACCAATCTTGTTACCCCAGTAACCCCTTCTCACTGGAATCACAGACAACTTAGCAAGAATTATCGCGCCTCTAATGGCGGTCGCAACCTCCTTCGAACACTTCACTCCCAGCCCAACATGGCCGTTACCATCTCCGACGACAACGAAGGCCTTGAACCTCGTCCTCTGACCGGCCCTGGTCTGCTTCTGCACTGGCATGATCTTCATTACCTCGTCCTTCAACGACGGACCAACGAGGAGATCCACGATCTGGTACTCCTTGACCGGGAGAGAGTGAAGGTATATCTGCTCTAGCTTCTGGATCTTACCTTCCTTAACGAGACGACCGAGCTTCGTCACCGGGACTCACTTCTCTTCTTCCGCCGCACGTCCTCCGCGACGTCCGCGGCCTCTAGGGATACCTCTTCCACCGCCACGGCCGCCGAATCCGCGACCAAAACCACCGCGTTCACCGCCACGTTCCGCCATTGAAGATGCTGCTTAAACCTCTCTGGTGAGAATCAGAAAAACTCCGGCGAAGTGCTTCGATAATATGGTTGAGAGAACCCTAGTTCCGGCCAAAAAGGAAGACCTCTATACATACGCCGGTTTCAGAAGGAAAGAGTTGCTAAAGTTCAGATGTTGTTTGGCTGTTTGGATATTTGAGTTCCGCCAACGAATAAGACGTTATGGGCCCTTATTGGCCTAGTTTGGGTGAAAAATAATCACAGAGAGAAAACTAGTAGCCCAGCCCATGGAAAAGACGGCATACTCATAAAATTAAATAAAAGCATAGTTTTTATTTAATTCATAATTATGCAAACAAACAAACATTACAAATAACATATCTATATATATATCATATGGACTGTTTGTATATTTATGATATACTCTTGCCATTCTTCGACAACGGCTCCTCCCACGTATGGGCAATCTATACATGGGAAATAAAATAACGTATGGATATACAAGTATATATCTAAATCATGCATGTGTGCGTATATATCCTTGTATGTGAGTATATATATTTGTATATATGTATATATATACTATATGTGCATGGATATGGAAATTAACATCTAAGTGTTGGTACAATGTGGAGAGACGGAGCCTTGACCCATCACTTGAGCATTAGAGCAAGTAGCTTTGCCTCCTTGTAAGTTCACATTCTGCAACACAATCCCTTTGCATGGGTAGCTCTTGCTGCAATCAAATTTTATTGCCATGCCCGAAGCACTCGTTCCCTTTATGTTCCGGTACACCACATTCCTCACTTGGACCGCCGATTTCTGAAATTATTCGTACAATATTTGATTCAATTATATATCGTGTATATATATGTGTCTATATATATATATATAAACTTACTTGTTTCTTGCATGGCTTGCTCTTATCACAGTAGTTCTGATCGATTATGATGGGATTTTTCACGTTGTTCATCTGAATGTTTTGAAACTTGATGTTGCTCGCAGTTCCGGATCCTCCCTATACAACCCATGGGGGGTATATATGATAATTTCAAAAGCAGGTGGTGAAAAATCGAAACTTTTGAATTATTTGGGGTTAGTTTTGAGAAAATCACCTGATAGGTTTTGATTCTAACTCCGTTGTCTGTGCCAGAAAGCTTAGCCCCATCAACAGTAACACCTGAGACATAAGCTCTCGTGTTGTCGTCTCCCAAGCTCCCAATACTGTTAATTAATTTGGTCCAAATATATATCATCAAAATGTTTTAATACATATACATATATATATATATGTATATATATTCATCTCCGAATATTTATATACCTTATTCCATGACCGGGGCCACAAGTTATATCCTTTATTTGTACGTTTTGTGATCCACTTTCAATAGAGATACAATCGTCACCTGTATATAAAACATGCAGATATGTTAGCATTGTAAGAACGTACCAATATGTTTGCTGAAAAATTCGAGAATGTTCTAACGAAATGCATAACAATAATAATAATAATAATAAACCTGTTCCGATAATGGAGTTGATGACTTGAATGTTTTGGGTGTTAGTGATGTGAATACCGTCGGTGTTGGGACTATCTTCAGGTGCGGTCACGGCCACATTAGAAGCGATAACATTCGCGCATTTCTCGAATGAAACCTGAATTTGTTGCGCATTTCTCACCCTCAGGTTAGTCACCTTCACGTTCTTTGAGTTGTAGAATGTAAGAGCCTACAGTTAAAAATATTATACAATACGCACATCTCATAACCAAATGAAAAATTTGAATTGAATATAGGAAAAATAAAATAAAAACGATGGTACGTACTGTGGGGGCTTTTGTGCATGGCTGCATGCGGTTTCGTAAACGGAGACAACAAAGCAGAGGAAGTCAGTATAAGTTATTGATACATGTGTATTATCGACGAGCGTATAATACAAGGACGTGTGTATATATGTATATATATGCATATTTGTATGTATCGTAATTCACCTTGGATGGATTGATTTTGCATGAATTTTGCCACCATATCTTCCCATTGCCATCGATGTTTCCAGTTGTACCACCATCGACTGACAGATTGTTAACGGCGTCAAACGTAAGCCAGTGTCTCTTATCCTTGTAATCCGACCGGTTTTCCGACGCCTCTAACGCTCCAAAGATCTACGTACGGTTCGCAAATGCAAACATGCATGATCCAAACTTAGCCCATATATATATATATGAATAATGATATATCAACTCTTTAATTTGTAATAACCAAAAACGAAAATATTCACCTGAATGGTTAGAGGGGATTTGCATGGACCTTGAAATCGAATAGCCTTAAGGAGATAAGTCTTCCCTTTGGGAACCAAAAGAACAGCTCCACTCGTGGAACACGCTTTCTTCCATGCATTCACAAATGCCTGACCCCCATGCATGCATGCATGCATCGTATTAGCAACAAACATCTATACATGTATTATATGTATACGTACTTAAAATTTTGCACTCACATACAAATACATATGCATGTATATATATGCACATCACCTGTGTATCATCGGTCTTGCCATCTCCTCTAGCTCCAAAATCAGAAACAGTAACAGTAGTAGCTCGTGAAGGTTTCTGGGTAGACGAAGTCGAAACTGTAGAAGTTAAGAGCGTCGACAAAGATAGTATTAAAACGCATACCGGAAGAAAGTGGTTTCGGAAAACGGCCATGGTGGAGGATCGAACTACGAGAGAAATGAGTGTCGTTTCGCGGGGTGTGAGATGGAATGTTTGCTGTTTCGGCCCTTCTCTCTGTCGTGTCGTTTGTGTTCTGGGGATGTGAAATGGGTGTTATGTGTATTTATAGGCAAAGGGAAGAGAAAATGACTGTTTTTGTTAGGTAGCTAAAATAAATGCTAAGGGTGGAGAGGTATGGACTCAGTTTTAGATTTTGACGAAATCCCCCACTTTAAGCATATTGCCCTAATTCATATTTACTTCTATCTAGTTTTATTTATGGAAAAAATATGGTTAATTTAATTGTCGTAACGTATACTTGGTGTGTAAAACAACATTATATAATATATATCTATCTATATATAATTCGAAATGAAATTATCTATTAGAGAGTACGCCAAAGAATATAATCCAATAATATATGTTGTAGGGTAAGCGTAATGTACAGTTATAAATGTTTTGTATATATATGCCACATTTGGTTTGGTCCGTGTTACTTTCGTATGTACTTTGGTATATACCATGATTTTCAGGTCTAATTGAATGGGAAACCAACATGGTCAATGTATACACGTAGTAGCAGAAATTGCGCAAACGCAACGAACGGTTAATTGTGAAGAATATATGGTTTTATACACATGCATGCATGGTTTCTCAAATAGCGGAAAGCAGAAGTCGGACCAAAAATAATTATAAAAAGCATATTATATCACCCATGAACTTCGATACAAGGAGATAGCGGTCCTCTTCCCCGTTTTTATTTAATTAATGATTTAGTTTTATCATTAATAGCTTAAAAACAGTGCATCATATATCTTGTATATATATTAATATACACATCTCCCCATTTACAAAACAAATTTATCCGTATATATAAATATTGGGTAAACATGGATACATACCCCCATCAATAAAATAATGTATTTCATATTGAAATTATAGAAATGAGACAAATATTTCTTATTGTGCACCCAATTTTATTTTTTTAATCTTTTAAGAATGATAATAATAATACATTCTGCATCCATCATATTGCGTGCAAGGGAGTCTGCATAGTCCAACGACGCCGTTTTATTCAAATGAAGCACAGTGCGTGAATAGTCTCAAGTTAGGCGCTCAACGTGAAGATTATAATTAAGCACATGGTCGCCATAAAAAATGCGCATAATAGGACCTTTTTTATTAAAATAATTTTATATGGTCAATATATATAGATACATATAGTCATATTTAATCAGCACGTGGTAAAATTCCACGTGTGCATGTGTTCGAGGAACTTGAAATAGATCATGATGACGATCCGATTGACGATTCACAACTGTTAGGATTCATGCATGAACAAAATATTGAGTTCTCTATGTATTAAAATCAACTTGTAACGAAGTCTGAAATGACTAAAAAAAAAAAGAGAAATAATATTTTATCTTTTCGCTAACTACGAAGTACGAAGTGGTGTTATTTTAACTAAGGGTTACATTTTTATTCAATTTCCTTATAATTTTGGTTAGACAAAAAAATTTTGAGAATAGACGGAACATAATTTTTCTTAAACTTGGAACCCATAATGCGTTTTAGAACCCACACCCCTTTGATAAGAATTGGGGCCTTTTTGTTCTTTATTTATAGAAACCAAATTTACAACGTGGGCAAATTGATCCCAATATCTAGTACATGCCATAAGACTACGTAACTAACTTAGAAAAAATCAACATAAACAATATTTTAACGCGTGTTCCATCTTAATGAACAAGCTTAAATCTAACAATTTTCAGTATTTTACATATATATAACTATAGACTTAAATTTCGCATGTATTACATATATGTAATATACGTAAACTATTCCCTAAACCGGTAAGAGTAAAACCACATGGAATCCATGAAACTTTACAATGTTATATACATTATAACGTACGGTACATTAGTTAGATTCTGTGCTGCGTAACTAATGATACGTCACATAATATATATATATATATATATATGTATGTATATATCCAGAATTCATGGCATGTGCGAAGTTTGGTTGCATGGCCTAAAGGGTATGGTCGGACGCATATGCCTTCTGGGAAATTCTCCCAGTCGTTGTTGTATTTATTTCATCAGTTGTTTTGTTTGGCTGAGAGATACATGCCAAGACAACTACTACGACGTGTGGTGCAATTAAATGTTACAGTTGGTCCAAGTTATCACGTCTGATCGTTAGCCAAACATAGAAAAAAAACATAGATTATAGAAAGTACATATAAGTTATACATGTCAATTCGTTGATATAAAACATGATGGTATATATGCAATGGACCCTAAGTTGCTTGATGATGAGATATAATAGCTGCCTTATATTATTGTATTTGCTAATTATTAACGTATCGAAATAGATATTTATAGCATAACCGTAATTCGGTGGATATAAATTATTTTGGTTTAGGGTTTTGATCATTTAGGTGGCATTATTTTCGAATAAATAACGAGTATTTTATATTCTCCATTATTTTAAAGCTGTATATATAATACAACTACGTGGCTAGAAAAAAATATATGAATAAGTTAACAAAAAAAAATATGAATATGTGAATTTAACTTCTTTTTCGGAATTCTTTTAAATGGGTTTTTTGATGGGCTTCAATGTGATGGGCTGGAAAAGATGTTCCATATCCAGCAACCAGCCCTTCAATGATTAGTCTGAGAGGAGAAGAGGACTGCATGCCGTTTTCCTCTAGGGTCGTAGCGTCCTTAAGACGCTTGTCTCGATTTAGTGACCCAAACCAAGCAACAATCAACATCTCGTCCCCTTCGCTGCCCCCGTTCGCCGCAGCGTTCCCGCACGATGGTTCAACTTCACCGGCGAATTTCCCTGCGATAAAAATGTGGCAATCGGTTGTTCTCTCTGGCGGATCGATGAAGATTCCAGTGACAGAGTAAATCGATGTATCCTCTTACCATTTACCCAGATTTTCTGAATCGGTGCGTATCTTTTAATCCCTGGTACTTTAATTTCGAATAGCTCTCATCGCCTGGGTGATTTCGCGGTGTAGAGATTATGTATAAAACCTCTAGGGTTTCTGATGTAGAATCAGAATCTGTAAATCCTAAAAGCCAATTCGAATTCCGCGTGAACTAAAAGATGGATTTATAACCAAAAGTCTGAGCCGGGACAGAGGAGTTTGCGATGCAACTATAGTTTCTTCTACTTCAGATTTGGAGAAGCTACATAACAATGGTGGTAGTTCTCACTCGCTCGATGACAAACAGCGAAAATGCGAAATGAAGATGATTCCACTTGTGGGACATTACATATGCAATACACCACCACCAGGTCTACCGCCATTACTACTTCTACTACTACAAGCATTTCTTATTTCCTGATGATGATGAATGATCTGATGAATACAAATGGTGAATGTTTGAATGTTGTTTCTTAGACTTGAATCTCTACAGGCCATCTGTACATCTCTTCCTTGGGGACAGGGAGATTGAATGTCACCACTCCAGAGACAGTGTCATAATTGAAGTCTGTCTCCGCGTTATCGATGCTGCATTTGATTGGACGTTGAGAAGAATAGGCTCCAAACCGGCCACAACCCCTAGCCTTGAGTGAGACCACAGCAGTTGGGGAACGGTTGTCGCTGAGGGCAGGAGGGTTCGTTTCTGAGGAGACCTCTCCGTCGAAGAATTCGGGTTTCTTGTCGGTAACCATGTTGATTTCAATGGCGTCCAGGGCACCACTGGCATTGAACATGTCAAGCAGACCGATTGGTGCAAATGCGATGGTTGGGGTGATTTCCTGTGGATATTGTGAAGATTTGTCAGTACAACCTAGATATGTAATTTCCATCTTTGGCTTATGTGGTTTTGTGGATAGTTACCTTCATCGGAGAGAAGTGGAAGAGTTCATATTCAAGCACTTTGAGGGTGAGCGGGATCGAAGCGCCTTTTGGTAGTCTTATCACCTCCCCTGTAATTAAAGAAGCTCATCTTTCAGCATCAGTTGCAACTAATCAAGCTCTTGAGACGGAGAACATATTGATGATGTTCAAGTTTCCCGAACGTGACATTTACCTGATCTGAAGGCATAGACGACTGTATCTCCATTCCATTCTGCACCAGCAACTTGAGCCATGAGATCGACATCATCAGCACAGACTGAACCAGTGAGGGTGCCAGGAGAAGCATTGTGAATGCGGTTTTTTTTCGTTTCCTTGCACCAACCAGCGCCTTGGCAGTTGAATACCCCGACCATGCCAGAGCACTTGTTCAGGTTCCAAATTTTGAGTAAGCTGTGAAAGTTCAGTTTTCCCAAGTGTTAGGCTTCTTTCTGTTCATCGTTACTGAAATGCCTAGAGAAAAGTTGGAGAAGTAGCATACCTGATGCCATCTCTGGCTGGATCGGCAAAGAGGCAGTCACGGGTTGGCCTGCCAGGAAGCTGGGCAGGAAGAACTGAACCGTCGGGGAGGACCAACTTCCGTAATAGTTCAAAGTTGTGGTTGCCCGGTTTGTCACTGTATAAATATGATCATGCATACATTCTCAGTAACGATCTTTAGGATACTAATCAGAACAAGTTGAAAGAATCGTTACCTGACATAGATCGCACATCCACCCACAGCACGTGCCGCAGCATGGTACTCTGCAGCTGGATGTAGGCTCTGAAAATGAAAAGGATTGGGTGGTTACCGGTTAGTAAACTTATTTTTTTTCTACTTGATTCATCAATGGTAACAAGTGCTAGTGTTGGTATCGATCACAGCTGAAAATATCTCTTACTTGGAACATGTCCCAATCAGGCTGCATGAATTCACCCAGGAAGAGGGTGTTGTATGCAACTGAAGAAATGTGGATGGTGTGAGAAGCAGGATCTCTCGGGTAGAAGTCATCAGATGCCCTAACGACGGCAGTCTGTTTCGCACTGTATATCCCATCTGTGTTATGACACATGCAAGCTATGCATCCATTATCCGGGAAGTTTCTAGCAACGGAGGCCTCAAGAGCCTGGTGGTAGCTGCGTGTAAGAGAGACTCGCCCACCATGACCGGCACCGAGGGTCTCAATGATATTCTGCACATCAACTTTCACTCCGTCTACACCACATGAAGCCAGGTACGAGTGAAGCTCATTGTAAAAGTTCAAAACTTTCTTTGGGTGGACAAGACCCAGACCATGAACAGTGAGGCTGTCCATTACTATATCCGGTTGGTTCCCCAATACACCTGGGGACTGAACCGGGTATGCTAATGCGCTGTCGTAGTGTTCCATTCCGGTGGCAACGGGATTAACTCCGCCCCAGTAACCGGCTAAAGCATGCCATACATAAACAAACCTGTAAGGAATAGGCAAAGCATTTAATTACACTATGCACAAACATTCATTAGGATGAATAAAAAAAGGTGATAGGACAGAACGATTTACTTCACATCCTGGCGTTGCTTTGCATCGTCAACAACGCTCTTTAGCCCTGATATTTGTTCATTGTTCTGGTTGTTCTTTTGAAATTTTTTGTTTTCCTTGATACCAGCCAGTCTGCTAGCAAACCTGCAAGTATATGAATTGGGGGAGGCTTAGCATATACAGTACACATACTGTTTCATTATATACATTGAAAACAGAAAGGCAGAGGGCGATGAATCATACTGTGCGCCTTCCTGAACAACAGAGTCGGCATCTTTGTCTTTACTTTCTATTTGTTGCCAACCATCATCTATGATCAAAAATTTTGGTGGAGTGCCTCCTTCAGAAAGACTGTAAATTAACCAAGAATTGGTCAGAAACTTCATATATATATTTGCAGTTATTGAACATTTTGAATGATTTTCCATCCATTTGTTCTTTGATATCCAGGCTACCTTTTAAGGCCTTCCTCAACACCTTCAGCAGTCACGTCTGTGTAGAAAGCGTCCCACGTGCACCACCCGAACCAGTTGAGGAAAGAAGGCAGCTAATAAACAAACGAAAAAGATATATCGTTAGATCCCAATTAAAGAGCCAGAATCCATACTCTCTGTAAGATTCGCTAACCTTCTTCTTCTCGCGGTGATGGAACGTTTGCATGTGTTTCTCTACAGCTCTGTTAAATCACGTAGAAACACTGTTACAAGAAACGTCTACACGGGACAACATGAAGCAGAGCTAATGCTTTGGTTGCTTTCAGATGCGTTATGATTAAAAAAAACTGATTACGGAAAACATAAGAGGGCCAAACATACTTTACGGCTTGTCTAATAACTTCGAAGGGATTGGTTCCAGCATGAACATAGACAAGGTGAGTTCCCTGTGTGGTTTCAACCGCCTTGTCTCCTGCAATAAGAACAAAACAAAAAAAGAAAAAGAAAAAGGAAAAGAGCTTCAGTTTCAGTTCTTGATTTCCGTAATTCATAAGCTCATTTAGTGGCCATATATATAATTAACATACCGCTCTCGAGACAAATCTCAATCTCATTTTTAGCATTGCCTTGCAGAACAGATCGGAACTGGCCTTCGAGGAGAGGTAGGAAAACAGTGTAGATGGTGGGAGAATCGTCGTCAACCTCGTCCTTGCTCTCAACAAGCATGAATTGGGTCTCCAAAGGTACATCTTTCCCACATGTTCCCATTCTCTGAGTCATCCACCATAGCTTGAATCGGAAACAGCACATCAACCGAAGCCCCCTTTTGCCAAAAAAAAAAAAGGATTTAACAAATCATAACGTCCCGAAACATGATTTCATTCATCAATCAATGACAGTAATTCAAAAATGGGTAAGAGGGTTCTTACTCCAATACACCGATGGGGAAGACATGAAGAGACTTGTTGTGATCAGATGTTGCGCCGATGAAGGCACCGGCGACACGACCGGCACCGGCGGTTCCCGGCGTGACGATAATGTTGTCGGGAACTTTGGTTAGGATCGTCTTCCCTTCTACCACCAAGTTGTCGTTCTGGACGCATATCTTTGGGGTTATCGTCATTTTTTCTCTTACGAGTTACTGTCTCAGCATTAGGAAACGTGACACGTTAGAGCTGAGTCATGGATCTCCGACGCAAAAACTCGGAGGAATCGTAATATTATCTCATTGGCCGGTCATATTCCCTACAAAAACCTGTTCTTACAAAAACGATTCAAAATTCGACAAAAACCAGAGACACTCACCAGTAGCTTATCCCTTTGCCCACCCGAGAGAGCTCACGCGCGATTCTAGAGAGAGAAAACTCAACTCTGCAGAAGCGAAATGCTGCTTCTACAAGAGAAGAGAGAGAGAGAGATGACGTCTGATCAGAACCGCTGCTCTGCGTTGACGGAGATCGCGGCGTTGGATAAACAAGGTGGCGGAGGAGGAGAGGTTTATATAGTCGGGAGCGCTCTGTATAACCGTTGGGATTTCGCCACGTGTAACATTCCTGTTTTCATAGTATAAAAATTGTTTAAAAATTATCTCTATTCACGAGGCATATGCATGTATCTGACAACAATTTCGCCAAGTCGCTGAAATACGTAAACGAACCAACCAATACATGTGGGCTCCACGTACGTATGTGGTCCGACCGGCTTCAAACTGGGTTGGTTCCTTGAACCGACTCTACCGAACTAAACCGAACATATTTTTTCCACGAGGAGTTTGTTCAACTCTAGGTGAAAGGTTTAATTGCAAAAAATATTTTAGGTCGTTTTCGATTTTACAATGATTGAGTTAAATTTCGGACATTGTAAAATTTTCTACACAAAGACGTGTCAAGGTGGGACCCAGCCACGTCATCTCGAGTTCATCTGACGGTGGAGTTTGCGTCTAAGATCTCAGCTGGAGACTTTGTTCAATGATATGCTTTTGTTGCCTTGTCGTGACGTGATGTTTAATGTTCACGTCTCAATCTAAACAAGATTGAATACGACGATCAAAAAGGCTATTTTCTAAACGATGATTAATCTCCCTCGGCTTCAATGATTGTGTAATTAATAATCCGAATCTTGGACTGATTCATATAAAACGTAAAATCTGTGAAATATACATGAGAATTAGAAAAACCCAATAAAAAAGGATTTGGCATCCAAAATTAGGTGGTCTAATCTCAAAAAAATATGTAAAATATATTATTGTTCCTAATTTAAATTGAAGTATGGAAAGATATATTTATCCGTATATTTTTTCCCAATTGTTTGTGGATGGATTATATCAGATGGTCACATTCAGTCATTATATCAAAAATACACTCCATTTGCTATTTTGACTTCAAGATATACCCTTCTCCAATTGTAACTATGTGATCTGTATGATCCGAAATATAATCTTGATCATATTGGTCATAACATTAAATTTTTAATATTTTTATCAAATGATTGGTGAGATATATAAGGTATGAATATAATGAATGAGTGTGATCATCATAAATATACCGTTATGACTAAAATTATATTTCGGATCATATAAATCAAAGTCAAAATGGGAGAAGAGGATATCTTGAACTCAAAATAGCGGGTATTTTTGACAAGATTCTCCCGTAGATATGTATGATCTCTTACAAGTCTCCACGTGTTCCTGTGGGACCCAAGAAGCCGTACTGGTGATGACGTAAGCATGTTGGAAGTTTTGACCTATCCGGGTCAGGTCCTTTTGTCAAAATAAAGAGAGACTGATTTGCAAATGAATCGTTTTGGTTGAGTCTAAACGGCCCATAACATGCAACCATTTAGTATTTTTATCATGTAGTATATATGTTATATTTTTTTTAATCACATCGTTAATATTCTATTATAGTTATATTTTTTAGTTGAAGGTGGAATTAAAAAATTTAATTAAAAAATCTGAAATGATATCTTTTAAATAATAAAAAAATTCTCTCAAAACGACATGTCTTATCAAAACGCGTGCCCTGTATACCAAACGATAAAATACATTAAGGGTTGTTTTGGTAAATCTGTATCATTGAAAGATAATTTCTCATACGGGGGGTTATTTCAGTACTTTAACCGAAGGGGCTTTCGGGATATTCCCCGATTCATAGGGAAACTGCACAAAGCGAACCCTGTCACTTCCTGTTGTTCTGTCTTTGCCAATTCCTCCGCAAGGACAAAACGGTAAATGTAAATAAGTTTTTCCGCCACTACCTTTTTGTTTTTTCCATTTTTATTTTTAAAATAATAATATATTAGCTAATCAACCGCGCATATGTATATTCGTGGACGGTATGAAAAAGAAGTTATGAATATATATATTCGTGGACGAAAACAATAGGTTATTAAATGATTGTGGTTGAACTTATGATTGAACTCAGCCGTCTCATTCCAATTTCAGTTTTTTTTGTTGGGTTATAATATAATCTCATTACAATATTTGTGGATTTTCAACTACAAACGTTACGTTTTCTGGTTAGATCAAACGTCACTTGCCGTACCACGTGTCAATTCGATTTGGTAACGTTTCAAAAGATATTGGGCCTTGGAAAGGCCCATTGGGCTTTTACATTCGAAATGCGTTGAGCCCAAAGACAGCCTCTTCTAGTTTAATCACTTTTGTCTCAGAAAATGTCGGACCAAAGTAAAAATATAAATGAGACCACCAAATATTTAATGATATCAAGTCCCATTTTTCAGAGCACTTTGTAAATGAAATAAATAGTAAAATATAGCATGAGAAATCTCTAAAAGCACATCTTGATACATGTTTAATATCCAAAACGAAAGGATATTTGGAGTAAATGTTAAACCGTACAAAACGCTTTCATAAGCTCTTATATGTATATACACACACACACACATATATATATGTATATATTAATTCCAAAATGAATAGCGGTCCACATATACATATATAATATGTATGAAGAGAGATATTATTGGGAAGAGAAGGAGAAGAAGGAGCGCTTAGCAGGAGGTCGACCGACGGCACGCATGAGGTTGGCAACCTCAAGAACCCTAGCCACCTGAGTGCCTCTCTTTGATTCCGAGGTGGCCCTCCTCTCCTCCGCTTTCCTCCTCGCCTTCGCTATGTCGTTCTCCATCTTCTCCCTCGCCTTTGCCCTCTTCTCCTCCAACTTCCTCTGCCATCCATCATTATAAATGTGTCACATATACATACATACATATATATATATATATATATATATATATATTTGTACGATCAAACAAAATATTATATATGCTAAGCTTTGGGGTATTGGGCTTTTAACTTTGTGGATATTTACAAGAAATTATACAGAGCAATATCACAATATGCCCCAGCCTTACCTAACCGGATCTACCAAAGCTTCTTCTTCCCTTTTTTTTTATTAAATAACCACGCACAAAAAAATCATGGATATCGAATTCATAAATCGCTTAGGAAAATACATGTCATCATCATCATCATCATCATCATCTAGCAAATTCATTCCATACCTTAGGTTTACTCTCAATATCAGACACATGACAAACTTAAACATGAGGTTATATGCCCACACGCATAATAATGATTTGTAAAGAAATAATTTCATATATATATATATATATATAGAGAGAGAGAGAGAGAGAGAGAGAATTAAATACCTCGATTTTCTTCATCCAAGAATTGGCCTTGTGGACCTGCTCGTTCTCCCAACCATTGATGATGGCATCTTCCCTCTTGAACCTGTTGTTGATCTTCGCCACTTTAGCGTTCTGCCACGCCCCTATCTTCGCCTCCACCTCCTCCCTCTTCACCCTCTGCACCGACACCACTCGACCCTGATTTCCCGACCCCGACCCCGACCCCGACCCCTCCGGACCACTCATCCTATCTGGCACGATCGCCAAAGGGTTCGTCTCTTCCTCATCCTCCTCCCTCTCCGGGACCCGACCAAAGTCATCCTCCTCCTCCCTTATCCTAGACAACAGGTCGTTGTTATTACTTCCGTTACCGTTACCGTTACCGTTACCGTTACCGTTACCGTTGTTGTTGTTGTGTTCCATGGGCATGGAAGATCCTGCGATGACGAGGGCGTTGAACTCTCGGCTTATGGTGGTGAAGTTCTCGCTCGCGTCGCTGAGGCTGGCAGACCTCGCCGGAGAGAAGTAGCCGCGGAACGACGGCGGCGGCGGGGGGGGGTGCGAACGCTCCTCCGGCGTCAGCGCGTGTATGTCACGCACGGCTGGCTCCGGCTCATCTCGGCTGCTCCGGTCGTCGGCCTCGGTGTTGGTCTCCGTACTCTGTCCGGTGCTCGTTTCACTGTACAGAGTCAGCATGATCGGTTAAAGGTTAGGGTTCCGATGATCATGGTGTGCTCCTTAGTGAGAATAGTGTTCTTCGCTACGTTTTTTTTCCTGGGAGGGGAGCTAATTAATTATCTCGTGCAGCTTTGATATAAGATGGAGAGAGATAATAAAATGGTAATAAATAAATAAATAAATAAATATTTGAATAGATTAAATAAATGAGGTAGAATTTTCAACATGGGGGAAAAATTAATGACCAATGAGCTTTGTGAAAGCTACCGTTAATTGCCTGCGGAGATGAAAAAGAACAGGTCATTATAATTAAATCGTTAAAATAATAAAATAAAAATTATTGTTTGCGCCTTGGTTTATTTTTTACGTTACCGGTAAGATATTTCATGCCGACAAATATAAACAGTAATATCTAAATAAAGAGACAAAATTTAACAGTACTACGGATGCGTTGATTGATAAGGTTAGGCAATCTTTTTCAATTATTTTTATTATTATTAAATTATAGAGGACCCCACCACAAAATTGAGATAACCGGCCAATCTATGGACTCAACACGTGTCCCATCATAGCCATAATAGCCCACGTGGCGGTTATTTATTGGTGGAGTTGTTTCCCGCCCAGAAGCTACGTATGTCAGCTTCATGAATTCGCTGACTCGGAGATCCATTAAAATGTTGCCACGTAAATATGTCATTTCCGACTACATTCTGTCTTTTTCATTAATAATACTATTTTTCTTGTCGTTTTGTAATGAAATATCAATTAGTTATCTAAGATGTTCTTTCACTAAGACGCGTCGCGGAATTTAAAATTCAATATCAGTATTTAATTTTAAAAATATAAATTCATGAGATTTTTATCATGGGCAATGATATATAGTCCGGCCCAAATATCGGCCCAAATAAGGCCCAGAATTTCTTTTCTTATTGCAAGCACAAAGCCTCATCTTCCAACAATATTTCCTTCGTATAAATATTATAATTTCGTGATTTTTGGTTGGTCCTCTATTTATTGTTGTATATCTATATTAGAGAGGATTGAAGCTTTTGAGAAAACTAATACAAATTTCTAGTTAGTAACTATATAATTTATATTTATTGTAAAATTATTATTTTTTCTCTTAGCGTTCTATAATCGAATAGGGGATGTTAAATAAGATAAATTACCTGTGAGTTAAGTCAAAAGGTATTTTTTCCCATACATTATAATTTTCACATTTTTCCGGATAAAACCCTAGAGAATAGTTCTTATTTAGTTGGTAGTGTCTGATTTTTATTAAAAAAAATTATTCTTTAATAAAAATCGGTAAATTATAAATAAAGTGGGTGCCCTGAAATTTTGGCTTTTTTAGAATTAAATTATAAATAAAGTTACGATTAGATCATTAAATAACACAGTGTCTCGAGTTGTGTGTGGCACGGACAGCCATAAAAATCTATTGGTGCATGTTTTCTTTTATTAATATTAATTATTATCTTATTTCATTAAAGCCCCTCCTTATCAATCATAGTAACAAATTTCTTCACTTCTTGCATCCTCTTTCAAAAAAATGTGGATGATGATCAATTATATAGTATTTAGTTTTAGCAATATATAAATATCTGTAATGTAATGAAACAGTTGAAAAATAATTATGAAATGGGTTTGATGTATTAGATTCAAGTTCTAATGATATGAAATAAATATGATAAAAAGACTATATATGTATATAATTAATATAAGTTTGACATGGCCAAAATCTAATTAAACCCATGACATGATAGAGAAAATTGTGTCATTAATTTGGGCTATACATCCATGGTACCTACCTTCTAGATTTCTAATTTTGATACACATTTAAAGGAATCTATTTAAGTAGACAAAGCAATGGGATATTAAAAAAAAAAAAGGGACCCAAATTCAAAATTGGAGGGTTTTATTGGTTATGTTGAGACGGCTGTATCCTGTATGGCTTCGGCTATACAAAATTAAAACAACTATATATGATTATATATCAATTAAGTATAATTCAAATCGTATTAAAACAAAAATAAATAAAAAATTATTTTTTAACGAAAACAAAATTTCAAATGAATCAAACTATGATATAAAACCGGAAAATATATAATATTTTCAAAAACAAAACAAAAAAATCAGAATAAAAACAAATCTACGAAAAAACGAACAATATATATATATATATATATATATATATCTTACTTATTGAGGACCAACATCTCATGTGGGAATAAAAGATTGGATGTTATTTTGAACAAAGGTCGGTCCCAATTGGAGGTTACATGTAAAATGAGTACACCTTCTCTTTTAACTTGTTCTTTACGTTAAGTCTCCATCCCTTCTTAAATGATTTGTTTCCATTTTGATCTGATACCCTTATTTATAATATAGAGAAATATTATCTTTAAATATTTAACTATTATTAATAAATGGTAAATTTGAAAAACTATATAAAAAAAGGGTATGAGAAATCTGAAAACGATGATTTATTTTGAAACAAAAAATTATTCTATAACCTTATGTAAAATTAAATTGAGGAAGTATTTTTCAATTGCAATCTTCTCAAACACCTGTTAAAAAACCATAGGATTATTAATTGATTTTTTAATTCTATCGAACCCAAACTGAAAATCCAAAATAATCTATCCTAATAAAAACAGAGAGATATGTTTATGAACAACTAAACAAACATATCATATTAAAACCAAAAAAAAAAAATATCATATTAATAATAAGCGATATATAGATTTCTCAAGCAAGTAAAAATAAATAAAATTAAATATAACAGAAGAGCTTTTGTTTCTCTCTCTAGCCCTATTTTGATTTCTATAACAGAAGAGCTTTTGCGGGATTCTCCCAACGACGACAGCTTTCTTACACCGTCACGGTCTCTTGTCTCCAAGTTGTCTTCGAATTCTGCGATTTATTCCTCTTGTACCCAAAACGAGGAATTTTTGAGTGAAATCTGCGGGGAAATAGTGGGAAATTTAACATTGTTGTTGATAAAGTACTCGAAGCTTGTCTCACGATTTTCTTATCCATCCTTTTTTATGTATATATTTCGTTCGTAATATCATCGCCTGCAACCGATTTCGATCCGAAAGCGTCTGTCTTTCTCACGGTCCTAGTGTTCTTACTCGAGGTACGAACATGGGTTTGATTCTATTTCGCTTGTTCTCGTAGATACGTTATTGGGTGCGTTCAATCATCCTGCTTCGAGTCTTACCCATCGTTTGATCGCTGATTTAAGATCTTATTTTGTGATTATTTGATGCATCTGCATTTGGGTTTTGCTGCTTTTTGCAGGAGAGAAAAAAAGATTTTGCCTTCATGTAAAACTTTGAATTGCTTTTATAGAGAGAAAAAACAAAATTATGAGTTGTTCCAGATTTTGGAATTGTGATTTCTCTTGTAATTTTGATCTCTTATTTGTTGTTTGTGCCGTTGCTCAGGCTGAGTTGTCTTCTTGAAGGCCTAGAATTTCTATGGTGAGCCCCTTTCGGTGATTCACTCTGTTTTCCAAAATCCGGTTTCTCAATTTGTGGATGATGATGATACAGTTTTTGTTTCAGACATATCTGTGCCCTTTTCATAGAACAGGACATGGTGTTCTTAGTCAATAGGTTTCTCACATTTTGATTCTTCTGGTTAGGGAGAGGCACCAGCTTTCCTTGTCGATCATCTCCTCAACGGGCATTCCAATGGCTTCGGTGTAAAATCCGAATCCGATCACACTGAAATGTCAGTTGATCTCTGCGATCGATCCGTAAGCCCATTTGATGCATTGATCCGTATACCGTTCGAAATGATCTAGTTTTGGGGTTGATCTGATGTGAGGTTCATTCATCATTATACAGTATGTGATCACTCACAATGGAAACGCATTGTCCCTTGGGGTTCAGATTCATGACAAAAGCTCAAACACCTGGTGGGTCATATAAAGTTTGGATTTTTACGCTGTAGTATGGGTCAAGATCTCATTTTACATTGAGATCTTGATGGATTTGTTCGGTCCGTGTCGCAGGGTTAGTCCCACTGTGGTGGGAACAAGCCCGAAGCCCTGCAAGGGCTTCTCTGCCATTCTTCTAGAAGAAGGTAGGATCCTGGTTATCAAGAAAGGTTCAGGTACTGACGACTCGATCTGGTTCCTTGAGGTGAGTTTCTGCATATTGGTCTGGACCCGTGACCGTTGAGATGTGAACAAAGGGCACAAGCCTTATTCTAGTGTAGCAATTGAAGTTCTCTTTTCGATTGTTAGGTGGATACTCCTTATGTTCGGGAACAAAAAAAGCTATTGGGAGCAGAGGTTGTAACATGGAGTAAGGGTGTGACGGGCGTTGCTGAGAAGCCGATTGTCATAAGTGGTCCTTCTGGAGTTGGAAAGGGAACTCTCATATCGATGCTGATGAAGGAATTCCCTTCCATGTTTGGATTCTCGGTGAGCCACACAACTCGAGCTCCAAGGAATATGGAGAAAAATGGTGTTCATTACCACTTCACTGAGAGAAGTGTTATGGAGAAAGAAATCAAAGATGGCAAGTTTCTGGAGTTTGCTTCTGTTCATGGAAATTTATACGGAACCAGCATTGAAGCTGTTGAGGCAGTGGCAGACTCGGGGAAGGTATAAACTATGGAGTCTTTGGTTAAGTTCCGTTTGTATAGAGGCTCGAAGTTGTTGCCTTTTTCCGTGTCTGAAAGCTCGACGATTGATTATTTGATGATCCTAAAAGGAATATCTCTCTTTTATGATGGCTTTTTTGTGTAGAGATGCATTCTTGACATTGATGTTCAAGGGGCAAGGTCTGTGAGGGCGAGCTCTCTTGATGCTATATTCATTTTCGTCTGTCCTCCTTCAATGAAGGAACTTGAAGATAGACTCCGTGCTCGGTAAATCATGTTTACCCCTTCTTGTACTTCGGATCTTTCCTTGTTCTTTCGGCCCTGAATGCTTTCAACAGAGGTACGGAGACAGAAGAGCAGATCCAAAAGAGGCTTAGGAATGC